GATAGATCGGAGCGAGAGGTTTTTTCTTGTGACTATTGCGGTTTCGATACGATCGAGCGGAGGAGTTTGGAGATTCATTATCTCATGAAGCACCAGGACAAAAAACAATAACAGCAGTTATATAGTTCGCGAAATAGACGATCCAAGACCATTATTCAGGAAATTTATATATTCTAGAATTGTATTCATACTCTGTGCTTTTACCTGATCATGAAGATTCTACAACTGCAACCATAGAAATAACACTGACGACATCAAGGTTCCCTTATTAAAATTATTTATGCAATAATACTTCTACTTATTGAGTAATTCTTCAAATTGTCTACAATTTGGGCGGAACAGTTTTCTTAAAGGTTATTGAATATTTATGAATGTCTTATTTTTGTTTTTTCGGGGACATTTTGTTCGTAAGACGTGATATGAATAAAAATGGGTAATCCTCTTTATTTTTGGAAATATTGCAGTTTTCTTTCTTCAAATTGTTTTGTGTAGCACACGCATCAACTTAGTGGAAGTATTCAACTCAACTTCAACCTCCAGGAGCTAACAAAAAATTCCAATACCTACCTCCTCTTCCTATCCTCCCTATTTACGCACGATGTTCGTCGAGCATCATAGGAATTTCCTTTCGTGCGCTCCAAGAGAAAAGAAAGAACCAGTTACAAATATATTTGTAAGTAAGTATCCAGTTTTTTGCGTATGTTTTGTTGTCGATTTAGTAAATCGTTCTTGATGTAGATACTGTTTCGTTGAAGGAACAAATTGTTTATTTATAATAATTATACGTTGGATCTATCTTGATAAGGGCTATTGATGCATGGCAATTTCTCACAAAAAGCCAAGTCTGATTCCACTTTTGTTACAGACCGAACTGCCCTCCAATCATTCTTCAATTTCTGAAATCCTCCATTTTACATGTGAACAAGTTGAATTGGAATTCAACTTTGTAGTCGATAGTTTTCAGATGAGTGAGTCCATAATTAGTGAGAGTAATGAGATTAATGTTCTGACTACTGTGATTCATGATGAAGCAGTTCGGTTGAGGATTAGTCCTCCGACCTTGGTGATCTGTGAAGCCATGTTTTGAAATGAATTAGTGATGTGTGATTATGGTTTCCGCTTTGGTGAAGAACGGGTTAACAATGGCTTGATATTTCCTTGGCTCTTACCATGATAATTTCCCAACCGTTGGAGCACTTTGCAACTGTTCTCAGCATATTTTTTTTTTCAGCCACGAGAACAAAGACAATTGCCTCGGCTATGTGAAAACCGGGGATCACGAGAAATTCGAATGCAACACGTGCGACTACCAATGCCAAAAACGTGAGCGCATGAAAAAACACATGTTGGTCCACAAAGATCCATCGGAAACAACAATGTACCCTTGCTCTGTCTGCTCCTTCCAAACGAAATACAAAAATTACCTAAGCAAGCATATGAAGACAATCCACGGCCCGGAGGCTGACGCACCAAAAAAATACCCGTGCACAAAATGTTCCTTTCGTACCAACAGGATAAACACGTTGCGTGTCCATCAGCTGACACACTTGGACATCGCCGATAAATTCAAGTGCGAGCATTGTGATTTCGAATCGAAAATCAGGTATTTCTTCGACAGACACTTATGCAGCAACAAACCCGTGGAACGACCGTTGTACCGATGCAGTTTATGTTCTTTCACGTCCAAATTGAAGACCACAATTAGCAACCACATGACAGTCCACAAGAAACCTTCTGAAACCACCATGTACGAATGCGAGGTCTGCCAATACAAGTCAAAATGGCCGCACTGTCTGCGCAACCATCTCAAAACGCACAAAACGGAAGAAGTCCCTGTCCACAAGTGCGAACGTTGCGACTTCCAAGCGAACAACAAGTACAGCGTGAGAACGCACGCGCAGAAACACGATAGGCTGCGCATGAAAAAGATGCACCACTGCGATGTCTGCGCATATCAGTCTCCTTGTAGACAGAAACTTAAGAGGCACAAGGAAACACATAAAGCGCTGTCGCAGAGGCAACAGTTTGCTTGCGCCCAGTGCGACTACAAGACAGTGCTGAAGTTACATTTGAAACGCCACGTGTTGTTGAAGCATGTGGATTTGAAGCAATTTGAACCTGGACCACGGGAATGATATATTAGAATGTGTTATGTGACGATTTCAGTTTTATTATTTTCGTATGTAATACAAGTATATCGATGTTCATTACACTCATTATTTCATGAATATCGTTGCGTTATGCAACTAACGATACATCGAAGAATTCAGATTGCCAAATTTGTATGTCGTCGATTGTCATATGATCGTTAGAAGTTGCAGGTGCTTGAGGAGTATGAAATATCAATGCCAATTATTGGGGTAATTTAGATTTAACACTCATCCATCCTGTCAACATGTTCAGGAAATTGATATATTCAAAAATTTTACTCATATTCTTGACCTGATCATAAATACTACAACTATAGAAATAACACCGACATTTAGGTTCCCTAATTTATTTAACATTTGTTTTTATTAAGTAATTCTCCAAAATGTCTACAATATTTGCTAAACAATTTCTTTAACAATGGAATATTTATGACTGTGTTATTTTTGGGGTTGTTCGGGGACATATTGGTAGTGAGACGGGATATGAATAAACATATGTATTCTCTTGGACGGACTGTTTTATTTTTAGAAATATTGCAGTTTTGTGTGAAGCATGCCTCAACTTGTTAACATAACCAGTAGCCTTGATATTTGTAAGTAAGTACCCAGTTTTTTGCGTATTGGTATATTTTCATATTTTTTGTCGATTGAGTAACTCGTTCTTTATGTAGAATAGATATTGTCCCGTTGAAAGAACAAATTATTGATTTATAATTATACATTGGGTCTATATTGATAAGGGATATTGATGCATAATGATTTCTCACAAAAAGTCAAGGCTGATTTCACAATTTTTGAACCATGAATCATCTATCCGTAGACAGCTTTCCTAAATAATTTCTAAGAAATTTTGATACTGACTGAACTGCCCACTGATCATTCTTCAATTTCTGAAATCCTCCATGTCACATGCGAACGAGATGGCTCGAACTTCAACTTTATAGAGTCAATATAGTTTCCTGAAGGGCGAATCCATAATTAGTGTTATAACTCTGGTGATCCTTGAAGCCATCATCAATTTGACGAGTCAGAGATTAGTGTTCTGGCTGCGGTGATTCATGAAGCCGTTTCAAGATGGATGAGTCATGAATTATGTTATCACTTTGTTGATCCATGATGAAAAGCAATTGTCACATGATTGAGTCTAGGACTCGGTCTAGGATTAGTGTTCCGAGATGAATGAGTAAATAATTAGTGTTGACTTTCATGATGTCTGATTATGGACTTGACTTTGATGATTGATGAAGCTGTTTGTAGAGGTTCTGGTTATAATGGCTTGAAATTTCCTTGGCTTTTTCGACGAAATTAACATGACATTTATCTTGTCATTCAAGCACTTTGCAACTGTTCTCAGCATACATTCTTTTTCAGCCAAAAGAACAAAGAAAATTGCCTTGGCTTTGTGGAAACCGGGAATCAGGAGAAATTCGAATGCAACACGTGCGACTACCAATGCCAAAAACGTAAGCGCATGAAACAACACATGTTGGTCCACAAAGGTCCATCGGAAACAACAATGTACCCTTGCTCTGTCTGCTCCTTCCAAACGAAATACAAAGATTATCTGAGCCAGCATATGACGACTATCCACGGCCCGGATGCTGACGCACCGAAAAAATACCCGTGCACAAAATGTTCCTTTCGTACCAACAGACAAAACACGTTGCGCGTCCATCAGCTGACACACTTGGACATCGCCGATAAATTCAAGTGCGAGCATTGTGATTTCGAATCGAAAATCAAGTACTTCGTCGATAGACACTTGTGCAGCAACAAGCCCGTGGAGCGGCTGTTGTACCGGTGCAATTTGTGTTCTTACACGTCCAAATTGAAGACCGGAGTTTACAACCACATGACAGTCCACAAGAAACCTTCTGAAACCAACATGTACGAATGCGAGTTATGTCCGTACAAGTCAAAATGGCCGCACTGTCTGCGCAACCATCTCAAAACGCACAAAAAACAAGAAGTTCCTGTCCACAAGTGCGAACATTGCGACTTCCAAGCGAACAACAAGTACAGCGTGAGAACGCACGCGCAGAAACACGATGGGCCGCGCAAGAAGAAGATACATCAGTGTGATGTCTGCGAATATCAGTGTCCGAGTAGGCAGAAACTCGAGAGGCACATGGAAACACATAAAGCGCTGTCGGAGAGGCAACGGTTTTCTTGCGCCCAGTGCGACTACAAGACCTTGGTGAAGTTGAATTTAAAACGCCACGTGTTGTTGGAGCATGTGGATTTGAAGCAATTCGAGTCTGGGAAACTGGATTGAGACATTCGAATGCATAATGTGACGACGTGATTACCACTGAACAAAGGATTCTGTTTGAGACACAAATTATGTTCCCAATAGAAGAAGGAATTGTCAATAATCATCAATGAAACGAGTTCTATTCGTTAAGGTTATTTCATTCGTTATTTCATGAATAAAACAATAGTTTTACGACGTATTTTAATTTAAAGTCGTTGAGTTATGCAACTAATGATACATCAAAGAATTTAGATTGTCAAATAGGCGTGTCATCGAATGTCATATGAACGTTAGAAATTATTTTATGGTTAGGAGTGTATATAGCGGCTCACTAATGAGTTTAGATTGATATTGAAAGAGTTTCTTCTGACATGCCGATAATAAAAATAATTTACTCTTATCCCTGACCTGATCTGACCTGACTTATGAATGTCATATTTTTGGGTTTGTTCGAGGACATTTTGTTCGTGAGACGTGATATTTATAGAAATGTGTATTCTCTTTATTTTCTGGAAATTTTGCAGTTCCTCTTCAATTAGTTTTATGTATCGCATGCATTAACTTGATGGTTGTTCTGTTAACATAACCAGTAGAAAATGTATCTGTAAGTATATGTACCCAGCGTTTTATGTATTGGTATATTTTCTTGTTTGTCGATTCGGTGTCCTATATATAGAATAGATATTGTTTCGTTGAAACAACAAACTGTTGATTTATAACGTTGAGTCTAGCCTATCTTGATAAGAGCTCTTGATGCATGGCAATTTCTCACAAAAAGCCAAGGCTGATTTCACAACTTTTGAACCAAAAGTCATCTATCCGTAGACAACTTTCCCAAAGTCAAAAAAGAACTCGACATGATCTTAATGGTAGTCTTCCAAGAAATTCCTTCTACTTCTGAAATCCTCTTTTCCACATACGAACGGATGGCTCGAACTTCAATTTTTTTCCTGATGAGCGAGTTCATAATTATTAGTGTTCTCACATTGATGATCCATAAAGATATTATCAGTTGGACGACTCAGAGATTAGTGTTCTGACTGCGGTGATTCATGAAGTCGTTTCAAGATGGATGAGTCTAGGATAGATGTTATCACTGTGTTGATCCATGATGGAGCCATATCCAGACTTTGTTGATCCATGATGAAACAGTTGAGTTGAGGATTAATGTTCTGTGATTATGGACTTGACTGAAGCTGTTTGTAGAGGTTCTGTTTATAATGGCTTGAAATTTCCTTGGCTTTTTCGAAGAAATTAAAATGACATTGATCTTGTCATTCAAGCACTTAGCAACTGTTTTCAGCATACATTCGTTTTCAGCCAAAAGAACAAAGAAAATTACCCTGGCTATGTGGAAACCGGGAATCACGAGAAATTCGAATGCAACACGTGCGACTACCAATGCCAAAAACGTAAGCGCATGAAAGCACACATGTTGGTCCACAAAGGTCCATCGGAAACGACGATGTACCCGTGCTCTGTCTGCTCCTTCCGAACGAAATACAAACATTATCTAGGCCAGCATATGAAGACTATCCACGGCCCGGATGCTGACGCACCGAAAAAGTACCCGTGCACAAAATGTTCCTTTCGTAACAACAGCCGACACAGGTTGCGCGTCCATCAGCTGACACACTTGGACATCGCCGATAAATTCAAGTGCGAGCATTGTGATTTCGAATCGAAAATCAAGTACTTCGTCGATAGACACTTGTGCAGCAACAAGCCCGTGGAACGGCCGTTGTACCGGTGCAGTTTGTGTTCTTACACGTCCAAATTGAAGACCGGAGTTTACAACCACATGACAGTCCACAAGAAACCTTCTGAAACCAACATGTACGAATGCGAGTTATGTCCGTACAAGTCAAAATGGCCGCACTGTCTGCGCAACCATCTCAAAACGCACAAAACGGAAGAAGTTCCTGTCCACAAGTGCGAACATTGCGACTTCCAAGCGAACAACAAGTACAGCGTGAGAACGCACGCGCAGAAACACGATGGGCCGCGCAAGAAGAAGATACATCAGTGTGATGTCTGCGCATATCAGTGTCTGAGTAAGCGGCAACTCGGGAAGCACATGGAAACGCATAAAGCGCTGTCGGAAAGGCAATGGTTCGCTTGCGCCCAGTGCGACTACAAGACCATAGAGAAGATAAATTTAAAACGTCACGTGTTGTTGAACCATGTGGACTTGAAGCAATTCGAGCCTGTAGCACGAGAGTGAGATATCAACAAGTGTATCGATGATTATCGAAATATCAATCTCTTCGATTAGAAGCAATTTTCAATAATCATCAATAAAACGAGTTGTATTTGTTGAGATTATCATACTCGTTATTTCATTAATAAAACAATTTTACGTCGTATTTTTCTTTACATGAAATGCCGATCATACAAAATTGGTCTAAAATTCTTAGATACAAAATTCTTGTGCATCCTGTTGCGAGGAGCGTCTGAATTGAGGTGCGAACCTTTGAATCCGAAGTTTCAGATCGTCCAAACATACGACTCGGATCGAAGGATCGTTCGACCAAAGCTTCTCTATAACGTCTGCAAATGCTTTTATCAGAGTCCCCTTCTTGCTTGATGACCTCTTGTTCAAATCATTGAATTAAGCATTCTTCCTCAAATTTTCCAACAGCCACTCAGTTTGAGACAGGCATTGAACGACGCTTAGCAATCATCGTCTCTGTCAATAGTTTGGCGATTGATAGGATTCGAATTTGAGTTGACGGATAAGGAGCTGGACGGCGTTAAATTGAATCTTTTTTCATTCAGCTGAGTATAGAACTCCGAAGTTTTTTGTGGACGAATAAAAATTTCATCCAATCGCGTTGAGTGGAAGGAATAGAAACCAATATTGATGATGCATTTCCTCTTTGGATCGCGATACTAATACGCTGAATCAGGAAAAATCGAGCTCTATTATCGTCAGTTTTATTGATGAGTTTCCTTCCAATGAGATCAAATAATTCTGTAGCATAGGGGCCAAAAGATCCGTAAGTTTCGATGGCAACAGGATAAAAAATATATTGGTCCCTCAAAGTAGAATATTTTTCCAACTTCATTTTCATATAGAGGTGAGTTGACTTCGATCGGCCTTTTTTGGTCTCTAGCTCACCCTGTAGAATTTATGGTACGTTGTTCTGGGATACCTTGTATATGCCTTCTTGTTTTTTCACCGGATATCTGACTCCTATACCGGGTGTACCATAATTGAAATTTGTTAATGAATTACAGCCGATTTTAAAATCGAATATTTTGATAAATTAATACTAGTCCGATGCTATGGAAAAAATTATTAGAAATGAGATATGGTAAAACCTGAACACCTTACATCAATTATTATCATTATTGTATATATTATCTACGGAATTATCTCAGGATCCACGGAAATGACGAGCCTGATGACTGTAGTACTTATTTCCAAATATATAAGACGTACGGCTGTTCAACAACTACTATTACAAAGTCAAAAACTGGTGTAATCTTTATACACAACAATGTACAACTCGAGACTACCAAAAAGCTCTTGGCACGTCCCTTCATAACCCTGCACTGTCTCTTGATAAACAGTCGAGAATAGTGATCTGAATAATTGTAGGGATAGCGTCGACAAAGTACACCCCCACTACTCCTACACAAGTCTCTCTCACCTCCTGACGTGCCAGCCAATCAAATGAGCCCTCCTTGACGAACTAACATTTACGAGGCATGCGAGGAGAAGTGTGGTAACTATGCTTGGAAAAAGGTGGCGGGAGAGTTGAGGGACGTGCGCGTCCTTTATATAATGGCGACATTTGATTGGCTGGCGGAGTCATGTGGTAAGGGTAAAAGTAGAATGTCTCGGCGCCACCCCTGCTTGTTCAGAGGGAAGTGAATTGAAGCATACCGTCGTTCGAAGCTCTCGAAGTGATCTAGATGAATGTCCACTAATTTTTCTGCTAGCACTCGCGCTGGGAATTGCACAATGCACTAATCTTATACAGACAGAACTAGAGCGCTGTGAATACGAGTAGCTCTGCATACTTCTCGTCGTGTTCGCAGTGCTTCGGTTGTATCTATATTTATTGGGTGTTTCGAACTAATTCTGCTTGATTTGATATAGAATGAGGTATGAACAAGGCCCTCAAATGCTTTTTCAATTCAATTTCGGTATTCGGTAAGATCAAACATCTTAATAGGGTTATTTTTCAACAGAATCAAACAGGGAATTCGAAGATTATATCGAATAACAGATATTGAAGTTTTTCTACTTTTTTTTATTCAATACTTCTTGAATACATAAAATCAGTAGGTATTGATCGTATGTATGTCCCAAAATTATACATTATTTTCATTATTTATATGGAATACATGTATATCTGATACCCAGTATGCATATATGTTACCTTTTTCTATGCCATTTCATGACTTTTTGTTTTTGGTGTTTTAAAAATCACAAATACTTTAACGGTGAAACTGGGGATTAAGTTTGATTTAGGAAACTCATCAACTTATTCGTCATCAAATCACGAGGGTCGGTTGAACTGTACACTACTAGCATTCAAGTACCAAATCGGAATAAGACATAATAGAAACTAGCTTTCCTCAAGTACCATTTTGTTTCAGTATATCTTCAGAGGAGCCTTCTTACTATAACAGAGACGACGGATACCACAAAAATGAATTGTGGGACGGCAAAATTCTCGATGTGAAAAAATCACCAAAGAAGCGCAGCCAAAACAAAAGATTCGTCTGTGACACTTGTCAGTATCAAACCGATTCGTTAACAACAATACGCAATCATATTCGGTCGCACAAGAAATTATCAGAAGTGAAAAACTACAAGTGTCCCATATGTCCTAAGAGATCCAAGTATAAAGCTTCTGTGAAGGCTCACATTCAATCAATTCACCGAGATCCAAAACTGTCCAAGCCCAAAAAGTTCTCTTGTGGCAACTGTGACTTCACAGCGAAGCAGTTATATGGTTTGAGAAAACACATGATTACGCATTCTGAGTTCGCCACGGAGAAAAAAACCAAAATTGACTTCTACAAGTGCGAGGTCTGTGACTTCAAAGCGACAAGGATATGTTTAGTAAAGAAGCACCAGAATATCCATCTACCACCCTCTGAAGTGGAACTGTATAAGTGCAAACTGTGTCCTTACACGTCCAAATTCAAGAACGGTGTTTTTAAACACATGACAGTCCACAAGAAACTTTCTGAAACCACCATGTACGAATGCGAGGTTTGTCCTTACAAGTCAAAATGGTCGCACTGCCTTCGCAACCACCTCAAAACCCACAAGAAACGACAAAAATTGTAACAATTCTTCGGGCTGATGGAACCAATATTTGCTACTTTCTTTCTTTTTCTACTATTCGTACAAAATATAATAAGTTTATATAAAAGGCATGTGAGTAATGATTACATGATTATATTTCATGAAAATCGAACACAAAACGATAACAAACCGATATTTGATATCTCAGAATAAGTTATGTTTCAGCAAATCGTCCGAGGAACCTATTAAGTATAACAAAGATGACGGGTACCATAAATACTAGATTGTTTTATTAGGATCAAAAGTGACGCTTTTTTGACAAGTGAATTTTACATTTGCGAGGCAGAGCGGTAACGTTTTTTATCCGAATTATCCTTTTGAATAGGTTTACAATCAGAATATTTATTAAACGGACCGTTATCGGAATATTATACAAACGCGTTTGTAAGTAAAAATCATGATTCATACCTTTTATCTGCACCATTCTGTATATATTCTCTCTCACGATAGCAAATTATTACTAATCAGTTCCTCCTGAACAAACATACTATATCTACTTCAGTTCTTTTCCCAAATTGGAGGAATCGCAAATTCTTGGGTTAGTGGAATCGGTATTTACAACTTTTCTTCTTTTAACCACCTGCTGTGAAAAGTATACTAACAACTGAGGTAGGTAACTAAGTAATTTTAATATATTAAGTGAGTATAATTCATACACGAAATTGTACAGGCCAAACAGAAACTATGAAAATTTCAGATTGATGGTGTCGATTGCTTAGATGACATTTTGTTTCAGCCAATCGTCAGAAGAATCTGCTAACTTTAACAGAGATGAAGGATACCACAAAAATAGTTTGTGGGATGGACAAATCTTGAAAGCGAAAAGATCCTTAAAAACGCGCAGCCAAAATAAAAAATTCCTCTGCAACACTTGTCAGTATCAAACCGATTTTTTACATGAGATACGCAAACATATTATTTTAAATCACAAAAGCTTGTCAGAAGTGAAAAGCTACAAGTGTTCCTTGTGTCCGAACCCGAAGAGATTCAAGGCCAATCGAAATCTTCAACAACACATCCACTTTGTTCACGCTGATCCTGCAGCACGAAAAAAGTTCTCCTGTGGCAACTGCAAGTTTGAGACTAATAAAAAATCTACTATGAAATGTCACATGATAACGCATTCAGAGTTTGCCCCAGAGAAAAAGCCCAAAATTGATTTTTACAAATGCGAAGTCTGTTCCTACACGGCGACAAGAAAATGTGCCGTGCAAATGCACCAGAATATCCACCTATCACCTTCTGAAATGGAACTGTACAAGTGCGAATTCTGTCCTTATACGTCCAAATTCAAGTACGGAGTTGCCAACCACATGACAGTCCACAAGAAACTTTCTGAAACCACCATGTACGAATGCGAGGTTTGTCCTTACAAGTCAAAATGGTCGCACTGCCTTCGCAACCACCTCAAAACCCACAAGAAACGACAAGTTCCCGTTCACAAGTGTGAACATTGCAACTTCAAAGCGAACAACAAGTACAGCGTTGCCACCCACAAAAAAAAGGCACACAAGGAACTGTTCAAGAAACCGAAGGTGGAACACCGTTGTGATCTATGCGAATTCAAGTGCAAGACTACAGGTGAACTAACCAAGCACAAAGTGGTTCATAAAAAACTATCAGATTCGGAAATGTTTACGTGCGATATGTGCGGGGTGAAAATCAAGACCAAGAGGTCTTTGAAAATTCACATCATTACTATGCACGGTCTCTTGAAGAATATCGAAGTCACCAATATCATTATGGAATAGAAGCAGTTCATTTATGTGTTTTTATATTGTGTACAGAGTGAACAGCTGGACATTGAACATTTGAGGATTTCCACTTGAATTTTACCATAACATGACAGCTTGGGGGTTCTAGCAGGCAATTGCCCAAAAACATGCAAAAGATTTAGTTCGTTAATCGAGTAATAATGAAAATTGTAACAATTCTTCGGGCTGATGGAACCAATATTTGCTACTTTCTTTCTTTTTCTACTATTCGTACAAAATATAATAAGTTTACTATAAAAGGCATGTGAGTAATGATTACATAATTATATTTTATGAAAATCGAACACAAAACGATAACAAATCGATATTTGATATCTCAGAATAAGTTTTGTTTCAGCCAATCGTCCGAGGAACCTATTAACTATAACAAAGATGACGGGTACCACAAATACTAGATTGTTTTATTAGGATCAAAAGTGACGCTTTTTTGACTAGCGAATTTTACATTTGCGAGGCGGAGCGGTAACGTGTTTTATCCGAATTATCCTTTTCAGTAGGTTTACAATCAGAGTATTTATTAAACTGACCGTTATCGGAATATTATGTAGATGACGTCACGAATGAAAAAGAAATATAACGGAAAACGTGTTTTGAAAGTAAAAATCATGATTCATACCTTTTATCTGCACTATACTGTATATATTCTCTCTTACGATGGCAAATTATTACTAATCAGTTCCTCCTGAACAAATATACTATATCTACTTCAGTTCTTTTCCCAAATTGGAGGAATCGCAAATTCTTGGGTTAGTGGAATCGGTATTTACAACTTTTCTTCTTTTAACCACCTGCTGTGAAAAGTATACTAACAACTGAGGTAGGTAACTAAGTAATTTTAATATATTAAGTGAGTATAATTCATACACGAAATTGTACAGGCCAAACAGAAACTATGAAAATTTCAGATTGTTAGGTCGATTGCTTAGATGACATTTTGTTTCAGCCAATCGTCAGAAGAATCTGCTAACTTTAACAGAGATGAAGGATACCACAAAAATAGTTTGTGGGACGGCCAAATCTTGAAAGCGAAAAGATCCTTAAAAACGCGCAGCCAAAATAAAAAATTCCTCTGCAACACTTGTCAGTATCAAACCGATTTTTTACATGAGATACGCAAACATATTATTTTAAATCACAAAAGCTTGTCGGAAGTGAAAAGCTACAAGTGTTCCTTGTGTCCGAACCCGAAGAGATTCAAGGCCAATCGAAATCTTCAACAACACATCCACTTTGTTCACGCTGATCCTGCAGCACGAAAAAAGTTCTCCTGTGGCAACTGCAAGTTTGAGACTAATAAAAAATCCACTATGAAATGTCACATGATAACGCATTCAGAGTTTGCCCCAGAGAAAAAGCCCAGAATTGATTTTTACAAATGCGAAGTCTGTTCCTACACGGCGACAAGAAAACGTGCCGTGCAAATGCACCAGAATATCCACCTATCACCTTCTGAAATGGAACTGTACAAGTGCGAATTCTGTCCTTATACGTCCAAATTCAAGTACGGAGTTGCCAACCACATGACAGTCCACAAGAAACCTTCTGAAACCACCATGTACGAATGCGAGGTATGTCCTTACAAGTCAAAATGGCCGCACTGCCTTCGCAACCACCTCAAAACCCACAAGAAACAACAAGTTCCCGTTCACAAGTGTGAACATTGCAACTTCAAAGCGAACAACAAGTACAGCGTTGCCACCCACAAGAAAATGGCACACAAGGAACTTTTCAAGAAACCGAAGGTGGAACACCGTTGTGATCTATGCGAATACAAGTCCAAGACTACAGGTGAACTAACCAGGCACAAAGTGGTTCATAAAAAACTATCAGATTCGGAAATGTTAACGTGCGATATGTGCGGGGAAAAACTCAAGACCAAGAAGTCTTTGAAAAAACACATAATTTTAAAGCACCGTCTCATTAGGAACATCGAAGTCACTCATGTCATATTGGAATAAATTTTACTAAAAATCAATTTTTAGCTGTTCAGTGTTAAAATAGGTCGCGTGCACGATGAACGACCATGTAGGTGAAATATTGAAACACAACCTCACTTTTTTTATTCGAACAGAGGAATCGAAGGTTTGAAATAGTTTTTCACGATATTGTGGCATTCGAATCGTGTTTTTTTGCGCTATTCATTGATTCATTCATTAATTATACATTGCACGAAAAATGCAGAAGTTGTTAATGAAACAGCTGATTCAGCTCGTGGTTAGGAAATTGATCCAAGTTTTCAGAATCAACGAATTAGTAATCTATGCTAATATTATAAAGAGGAATGATTTGATCTCTTGAATAAATCCAACTACCCCACTGAGGCATGTGAGCAATTATAATACATATCTCATTCAAATCCAACACAAAATCATAACGAGCATTTCTTGAATCAGATTCAACACCCAAAAAAGGCAATACGCCTTCTAAATATTGATGTGATGATTTGGGTATATATGTTGTATTTGATTATTGAAGTTTTAAAGTTTTCAATCACATATTGCAGTTCCGTTTTCCCTATCTCCTTCAGATTGAGGTTTGATCGATTTTATGTTGGATCACCCTGTACCTCGGCATCATTAGAGCAACAGGCCTCGTTTTGTTCCAGCTGACCTTTTACTTCTCAGTCAAACAGTAGAGAGAGGAGTTTTTATTGCAACTCGAAAACTCCTCAGACCACCAAAACTGCAAAAACGTGTACCTACCTCTCGTTCGATATCTCCAAAACCACAGGGCTAGAAAAAATCAGAAAAAAAAAACACCAAGAGAGAGAACGCGTCACACATCTCCACGAATCTGCGAGGAATAATAATTAGTCTGCAGAAATCCATGGAGTTGTTTAAATAAGTGAGCGACTACTCAATCACCAGGGCCTACATCATATAGCTCGATTAGTATGTTTAAGATTTTCATTGAAGTCTCGATTCTCGATTGAGTGTAAACGAACCACGGCCACGAAAGCAACAGGTGCCTGTCAAACGTGTCAATATAGTTCACTTGTCGTTTTGTTTCAGCCTACCTTCGACCACAGAACATAACAATAACGAGTACGGATACAGATTGAACAAACGATGGAAACGTGACACCTCCGGTGAGCCCCCAAACAAGGAGAAAAGATTGATCTGCTGCTCGTGCGATTACCAACATAACCTAGCTGGTCGCATGCGAAAACACCTGGTAGTACACTCTGCCGAAAAGTCACACAAATGCAGCCAGTGCCCCATGAGAACGAGACACAAATGGTGTTTGCGGGAGCATATCAAGTATATGCACAGCGATCCTAACGCTCCAAAAGCGTACAGCTGCGAATCTTGCGATTTCAAAACCCACAGGAGAGAAACCCTTAGAATTCATTCGATCACCCACATAGAATTTGGCTCTGAAAAAAAGCCCGACAAAATAGATTGGTACAAGTGCGAGATTTGCGATTTCAAAGCGAAGAAGAAGTTTTTCGTCGACCGCCACGTGAACATTCACAGACCACCATCCGAAAGGGACGTTTACAAATGCGAATTGTGCCCTTACACGTCCAAATTCAAGGGAGGCGTTTTTAGTCACATGACTGTTCACAAGAAGCCTTCGGAAGCCACCATGTACGAGTGCGAGGTTTGTCCTTACAAGTCAAAATGGCCGCACTGTTTGCGCAACCATCTGACAACGCACAAAAAAGTCCCTGTTCACAAGTGTGAACATTGCGACTTCAAAACGAACAACAGGTACAGCGTTGCCACCCACAAGAAAACGGTACACAAGGAACTATATGGGAAGCCCAAGAAGGAGTACAAGTGCGACATCTGTAATTACATAGGAAAAACATCTAGCTGTCTTGATAGGCACAAAATTGTTCACAAGACAATGTCCAAAGATGAAATGTTCACTTGCGCGATATGTGGTATGCAGACGAAAGTAAAAAGGTCCTTGCGTCACCATATTCTCAAAGTGCATGGCTTTTTAGAAAAGAACAAACATTCTACTGAATAAAACCTTTTTGTTATTTCTCAGTTGAAACGCGTTATGGTATATTTTTATATTTGTTTCAGTTATTGATTGTTATTTAGTCTAGGATTCACCTCTAATTAACCTTGAGACCACATTCAAGTGGGACCATCAAAGCAACAGGTCTTCCTCAACATGGCGTTTGTACAATTGCTGTTTTGTTTCAGCACACGTCCTTTCCTTACCCCACAAAAAGGCGAAATAAAGTTGGCTTTCAACGTAAACAAGATGTGGAAGCCTAGAACCGGTAAATCTCCGCAGCAAGAAAAGAAATACGTTTGCAGCGCGTGTGGCTACCAAAACGATCATTTCCCTCGCATGCAGAGACATCAGTTAGTCCATTCTGAGAAGCGGTTCCAGTGCGACAAATGCCCAATGAAAACGAGATACAAAAGTTCTTTGCAGAAACATGTAGAAACCGTCCATAGGGACCCCATCAGTACTGTCAACACGCTCGCTTGTGACGTGTGCTCCTTTAAAACGCACAGCAACGAATCGCTACGACGTCACATGATCAGCCATACCGCTGGACCAAAGAAACTGAAAGTGGAAGTTTACAAGTGCGAGCTCTGTGATTTCGAATCGGAGAAGAAATGTGTCGTTCTAAGTCACGTAAATATCCATAGACCACCATCCGAAAGGGACGTTTACAAATGCGAATTGTGTCCTTACACATCCAAATTCAAGGGGGGCGTTTCTAATCACATGACTGTGCACAAGAAGCCTTCGGAAACCACCATGTACGAGTGTGAGGTTTGTCCTCACAAGACAAAATGGCCGCACTGTTTGCGCAACCATCTCAAAACACACAAAAAGGAAGATGTCCCTGTTCACAAGTGTGAACAATGCGACTTCAAAGCGAACAACAAGTACAGCGTTGCAACCCATCAGAAATCTGTTCACAGGGTGCGGTTTGAGAAACCAAACAAGGAATACAAATGCAACCTCTGTGATTACACGGGAAAACGTACTAGCGATATTACCGTACACAAAATTGTTCACGAAAAAACTTTGAAGACGGAACTGTTCACTTGTGCGATATGCGGCACACAGATGAAGAGGAAAAAATCTTTGAAGAATCATATTCTTATGTTGCACGGTTTTCTAGAAAGGCATTTGGATTCCAATTCAGCAAACATCTCCCAGGATTAGTTATTGTTTATAAATTATTATTCGAATAAAGGTAGTTGTTTTGTTATATCTAATACTCATCATATTCGTGCTTGCTGCGTCCTTATTCATCTCTTAGGAATGCATTATGTAAATTCAGAACCTCAGATCAACCCTTGACGGTATATCGTGGGCCCTCGATTGTATTAGACGTAACAGAATTTGGTGGTATAATCTTCAGAGGTAAAATCATGTGAGATATTTATGTTATATTTTTTCAAGTTATCCCTTTTCGATTCAGATTCAGTAAGAATAGCATCCGACTTGGAAAGACCATGAATCACCAGGTTATATTTCTTTCGACGTCGTTCTGATTTTTTTGCAGTCAGCATATTGATTTCAATCAATAATAGTTGACATCACGTTGAACCAGTGTTTCACTACTTTTTTTTATCGCTTGGAGCGCACGAAAGGGAATCCCTATAATGTTCAAAGAACATCGTGCGTTCCTAGGGAGGATAGGGACAGGAGGTAGGTATTGGCATTTTTTTTTTGAACTTTTGGAGATTATATGTTGTTGGGAATACTTCCACAGACAATGAATTCCAGAGCCTAGCCGTTCTATGGATGAAGAAGTCTTGATAAAGTGCTGTTCGACATCTTTCGAGGTTGACAACGAAAGGATGTGCTGACTGGGCTTGTCTAGTTCGTCTGACTGGTATTGCTAGTGAAGGGATGATAGCAGAGATTTCCGAAGAACATTTCCCGTGGAAGTATCGATAGAAAAGTGAAAGGTCGCCGACTTACTAGTTCGAACACCTAAATTATAGGAGTTGACTCCACAGATGAGCATAAAAGGATGGGATAATTTCAACTATCTCATTCGTTTAGTCGATAAAAGGTTTTTTTGTCCAAATGATATTGAACGTGACTTTTCAATGATACTCAACAGGCAGAAAAGGTTTACTTTCTCTGCCTAGTCAGAAATAGTTTGAATCAAATTGGTAAACAAAATTGACAATGACTTTGGGTGAACACATGATGATAGATTATTTGGACTTTTCGTGAAATAGCAACGAGTTTGAAAAAAAAATTATGTTTCACTTGGCAGAAAAGCAGATTCAATGCCTAGTAAAACATAACTATTGTGTACTTACAGATAAAGGCTATATAATATGTTTCATCCATAACTGCACTTTAACAGTCTTTTCTTGATAGTTTTTTTAAGTGACCTTTTCATTTCTAGATGAACTCTTCACATTTTTTGAAGATATTCCAGGAATCAAAACTTACCAATATTTATCTTTATTATTATTCCCAGACAGAATAGTTACATGGATCATTTAGTTAGCCTAAATATTCTTATTATCAACAATACAAAAATCGTGTGGCAAAGTAACTTTTCAGCACTAGTGCGGTAAAGTAACTTTTCCGCACGATATTTCATGCACTGAAAAATAATCAAATAGATTTTTTTTATCGATAAAATAGGAAACTCGTTTGAAGAACATTTAAGTAACAATAACTAAAACATTAACGATGGTAAATATTGAAATTGAAAGTGCAATTTGTGTTTGTTGCATGCTGTAATATAGCAGATGCCGCAACATCTTGAAGAACGTCGTATCTTATTAGAATTTGATTGGTTTGTGTTTGGCCCACAACAAAAATGCCTTGATCAGTTGTTTACTAGTGTAGTGAATGGAGGAAGGTAGATTGGTCTGAAATGCTTATTTGTTGACTGCAACTACTGTCTGTTTATAGCGACTGTTGCTACACCTAATTACAAGTTTTCTAACCTAAACTAATCTATCCTAACTTCCACTTAGATCTACTTAATAGCAATAATTAATTATAGAACCAAAATTGAGCTGATGGGTTAAGTTGTATGATGTAACTTAGAGCCTTAGAGAATACAGGTATTGATTTTAATTACAGTAAATTCAACAAATCCTTCCGAAACTTAGCTAATTTGGTATCAAAAAAAAACTATTCATTCTGTCAACATACTTATTACAGATTTGGAGAATACTGTTCATTAAAGAGCCACTTGTTATCGAAACATGAAAGAGTATGGGTCTGGGACGAAGTGTATGTTCTTAAGGGTACTAGAATATTTATTTGACCTAAAAGGTACTCGCTCTCTATCGATCCATTCAAAATTTTGTGTATAAATTCCATTTTAATAAGTAAGTAATCATTAACGTTCCTGATGGGTCGAAATATTTTGAAATCATCAGCATATAATAAGCAATCAGAAGGCACAAGGTTTGGCAAGTCATCAATAAAGATTAAACATAGTAGAGGACCAAGATTGGAGCCCTGTGGTACTCCAGATCTTGCAATATATGTTGATGAGTTGTATCCAAGAAAATTAACGTACTGTGGCCTATCACTGAGATACGACCTTAGCAAATGCACCAACTGCTCACTCAGACCATGAGATAAAAGTTTCACTAGCAAAGTATCATGATCCACTCGAACGAACGCCTTGGCAAAATCCGTATACACGGATCCGTGTTCTCCAATTCCAAGGAAATCTTGGGTCTTATTCACAAAGGTAGCTAGATTTGTTTCAATGCATTTTTTCTTGCGAAAACCATGTTGTTCTGCAGAAATATTATGTTTCACATGATTATAAATTTTATCAAATATAATAAATTCATATAACTTTGCTATACAATTCAAAACAGCAACTGGTCGGTAATTTGCGATCTCACTCTTTGCTCCTTTTTTATGAATAGGAGTTATTTTGGTAGCTTTGAAATGATTAGGAAAAATTTCACAATCCAGCGATTTTTGAAATATTACCATAAGGGGATATATCAAATATTCTCTACAAGATTTTATTAGATAGCATGGAATATTATCAGGACCCGAAGATTTCTTTGGTTTAAGCTTATTGAACGCATTCATCATATCATTGACGGTAATTCCCTTGTACAACAAATGTTGAGCATTACGAACAGGTCATACATTTGCTCGATTATTTATCTGAGCCATATCATTGCCATTATATACCGAACAGAAAAATCTTGCAAATTCGTTTGAGACTTTTATTGGATCATTCGACAATTCCCCATCAACTAAGAAATTCTCGTTGGATTGTCTTTTTTGTTTAGAGTTTTTCACAAAATTCCAGAAAACATTTGGACTACTCCACTCCTACTATCACATGTCTCCTGGTAGTTCCTTCGAAATCGGGCGGAAAAGTAAATTCGTACGGAAAAGAACAACGTTCAAAACGAAAAATCATTCGGAAAAGTTACTTCTCCGCACGCTGGTAGACTGACTATGATGAATGCACCAAAGTAGAACCATTAGAACGACATATCCAGTCTAGTGTGTCATTTGTTCAATTCCCCTTTTTGTTCCAGCGCAAACCCTTACCACCTCTCAAAGACAATCTATGAGGAGTTGGGGTTTCGTGTGAACGAGCAATGGCGTCCTCCTACTTCTGACCGATCCCCAAGTAACGAAAAAATGTACATATGCGACTCGTGCGACTACCAACACGACCAGCCTTCCCGCATGCGAAAACATCTGATAACACACTCTACTGTGAAGTACCAGTGCGATAAGTGCCCTGTGAGATTGAAACGTAAATCGTATTTGCGACAGCACAACAGAAACGTGCATAAGGACCCCGAAACTGCCAACACTTTCGCTTGTGAATTGTGCGTTTTCAGAACGCACCGAATGACTGCACTACGAAGACACATGGTTGTCCACTGCGGGTTCGCTAGACAAAAGAAAGCAAAATTCGAATTGTACAAGTGCGAGCTTTGCGATTTCAAATCGAAGAGAAGACTCGCTGTCCAAGAACACGTAAATATCCATAGACCACCATCCGAAAGGGATGTTTACAAATGCGAATTGTGCCCTTACACTTCCAAATTCAAAAAAGGCGTTTCTAGTCACATGACTGTGCACAAGAAGCCTTCGGAAATCACCATGTACGAATGCGAGGTTTGTCCTTACAAGTCAAAATGGCCGCACTGTTTGCGCAACCATCTCAAAACACACAAGAAGGAAGAAGTTCCTGTTCACAAGTGTGAACATTGCGATTTCAAAGCGAACAACAAATACAGCGTTACTACCCATCAGAAATCTACTCACAAGGAGCTTTTTGAGAAACCAAAGAAGGAATACAAATGCGATCTATGCGAATACACGGGGAAATGCACTAGCGATGTTACTAGACACAAAATCGTTCACAAGAGAACGTCGAAGGAGGAACTGTTCATTTGTGCTATATGCGGCACACAGTTGAAAAGGAAGAAAACTTTGCAATATCATATCCTTACTAAGCACGGTTTTTTAGAAAAAAATATGGGGTCAACTTAGCTATTCTTTGCTGTTGTTTAGAAAGTGTTTTAGTGTTCACTCTATGACTACATTTGTTCCATAGTTCTTATTTGAAATCTGAATTTTTTCGTTGCTACTTCAGAGCTAGTTTACAAATCTTCTAGGAACATAAATGATCTAAATCTGCTTGAAGATACATATTTGTTTGATGAAAAATGTTATTAAACTTCGCATGACTAAAATATGCTTTTTCTACTTTTGTACTAAAACCTTCACCTCATCGGAATAGTGCCATCCAATCGACATGCCACCCTTCTATCAATTGTTCAATTGCTTTTTTATTCCAGCGCAAACCCGTACTACCTCCAAAAAACAATCTATGACGAATTGGGGTTTCGAATGAACGAGAAATGGCGTCATCCAACTTCTGACCAACCATCGAACGGAGAAAAAATGTACGTTTGCAGCTCCTGTGATTACCAACACGACATGGCTTCCCGCATGCGGAAACATCTGATAGTCCACTCTACCGTGAAGTCGTACCAGTGCAACAAGTGCCCTATGAAAACAAAACACAAGGATTATTTGCGAGAACACGTCAAAAACGTCCATAGAGACCCTGAAACTGCCCAAATTTTTGCTTGTGAAATGTGCGATTTCAAAACGCACCGGGACACTTTACTACGGAGGCACATGATTACCCATACAATTGTTGGTAACCAGAAGAAGAAAGTGGAAATGTACAAGTGCGAGATTTGCAATTTCCAAGCGAAGAAGAAATTTGTCGTCCAAAGTCACGTTAATATCCATAGACCACCATCCGAAAGGAATGTTTACAAATGCGAATTGTGTCCTTACACATCCAAATTCAAAGGAGGCGTTGTAAATCACATGACTGTGCACAAGAAACCGTCGGAAACCACCATGTACGAATGCGAGGTTTGTCCTTACAAGGCAAAATGGTCGCACTGTTTGCGCAACCATCTCAAAACTCACAAGAAGAAAGAAGTTCCTGTTCACAAGTGTGAACATTGCAACTTCAAAGCGAACAACAAATACAGCGTTACTACCCATCAGAAATCTACTCACAAGGAGCTTTTCGAGAAACCAAAGAAGGAATACAAATGCGACCTCTGTGATTACACGGGGAAATGCACTAGCAATATTACTAAACACAGAATTATTCACCAGACAATTTCAAAAGCGGAACTGTTCACTTGTGCTATATGTGGCTCACAGATGAAGAGAAAAAAATCTTTGAAGTATCATATCCTCACTTTGCACGGTTTTTTAGAAAAAAACATGGTTTCGACTTAGCTAGTTTCTGCCATTATTCGAAAAGTGTTATGGTTATCACACTGTATCATTCGTTACATATATTTCGACTCAAATGATAATAATAATAATAATGAACGCTTTTATTGATAGACAGAAAGAACAAAAAATAAGTCTTATCAAATGGCAAAGTTAGCTCTTGAACGTTTCCACAAGAAAGGAACGAGAAAGTGCTTTCTTCCACTCAACAATCTCATTTTTTGCGTCTCTAATTCAGAGGTAGTGTATATACACATTTCCCAGGAACATAAATGATCTGAATATGCTCGAAGAATCAAATATTTGATGAAAACTAACTAAACTTCGTTCGACAGAAGTATGCCGTTGCTAGAGCTCATCGCTTTTCTATGCCAAAATATTGAACTGGACTGCCAAATGCCATCAACTTGTACAAAAACTTTCACCCCATTGAAATTCAGCCATCAAAGTAATAGATCACCCCTCTATTATTTGTTCAATTGCTTTTTTGTTGCAGCGCAAAACCTTACTATTCAAAAACAATCTATGAGCAGTTGGGGTTCCGAGTGAACGAGAAATGGCGTCCTCCAACTTCGAATAGACCCCCGAGCAATGAAAAAATGTACATTTGCAGTTCTTGCGATTTCCAACACAATCAAGCTAGTCGCATGCGAGAACATCTGATCGTTCACTCTGAGAAATTCTACCAGTGCGACAAGTGCTCTCTGAAAACTAAACACGAGAAATATTTGCGACAACACCTCAAATACGTCCACAGAGACCCTGATACTGCCAACATTTTCGTTTGCGACATGTGCGATTTTAAAACGCACAGGAGCAATTTACTACGAAAGCACAAGATCACTCATACAATTGTTGGTAACCAGAAGAAGAAAGTGGAAATGTACAAATGCGAGATTTGCAATTTCAAAGCGAAGAAGAAGTTTTTCGTCGACCGCCACGTGAACATTCACAGACCACCATCCGAAAGGGTTGTTTACAAATGCGAATTGTGCCCTTACACTTCCAAATTCAAGGGAGGCGTTTCTAGTCACATGACTGTGCATAAGAAACCGTCGGAAATCACCATGTACGAATGCGAGGTTTGTCCTTACAAGGCAAAATGGTCGCACTGTTTGCGCAACCATCTCAAAACTCACAAAAAGAAAGAAGTTCCTGTTCACAAGTGTGAACATTGCAACTTCAAAGCGAACAACAAATACAGCGTTACTACCCATCAGAAATCTACTCACAAGGAGCTTTTCGAGAAACCAAAGAAGGAATACAAATGTGACCTCTGTGATTACACGGGGAAATGCACTAGCAATATTACTAGACACAGAATTATTCACCAGAAAATTTCAAAAGCGGAACTGTTCACTTGTGCTATATGTGGCTCACAGATGAAGAGAAAAAAATCTTTGAAGTATCATATCCTCACCTTGCACGGTTTTTTAGAGAAAAACATGGTTTCGTCTTAGATAGTTTTTGCCATTGTTCGAAAAGTGTTATGGATATCACTCTGTCATTATATTTGTTCGATTTCAGTTTGCATGTTCAGAGCTAGTGTATAAATTTCCGTAGAGCGTAAATAATCTATATATGCTTGTAGAATCAAATATTTGATGAAAAACATCTAAGCTTCGTGTGACAGAAGTGTTCATCCCTCTTCTATGCAAAAATATTGAACTGGACTGCCAAATGCCATCAACTTGTACAAAAACTTTCACCCCATTGAAATCCAGCCATCAAAGCAACAGATCATCCCTCTATTATTTGTTCAATTGCTTTTTTGTTCCAGCGCAAATCCTCACTACTCAAAAACAATCTATGAGCAGTTGGGGTTCCGAGTGAACGAGAAATGGCGTCCTCCAACTTCGAATAGACCCCCTAGCAACGAAAAAATGTACATTTGCAGTTCTTGCGATTTCCAACACAATCAAGCTAGTCGCATGCGAAAACATCTGATCGTTCACTCTGAGAAATTCTACCAGTGCGACAAGTGCTCTCTGAAAACAAAACACGAGAAATATTTGCGAGAACATCTCAAATACGTCCACAGAGACCCTGATACTGCCAACATTTTCGTTTGCGACATGTGCGATTTCAAAACGCACCGGAGCAATTTACTACGAAAGCACAAGATCACTCATACAATTGTTGGTAACCAGAAGAAGAAAGTGGAAATGTACAAATGCGAGATTTGCAATTTCAAAGCGAAGAAGAAATTTGTCGTACAAAGTCACGTAAATATCCATAGACCACCATCCGAAAGGGTTGTTTACAAATGCGAATTGTGCCCTTACACTTCCAAATTCAAGCAGGGAGTTTCTAATCACATGACTGTGCACAAGAAGCCTTCAGAAATCACCATGTTCGAATGCGAGGTTTGTCCTTACAAGGCAAAATGGTCGCACTGTTTGCGCAACCATCTCAAAACTCACAAGAAGAAAGAAGTTCCTGTTCACAAGTGTGAACATTGCAATTTCAAAGCGAACAACAAATACAGCGTTACTACCCATCAGAAATCTACTCACAAGGAGCTTTTTGAAAAACCAAAGAAGGAATACAGATGCGACCTATGTGACTATACGGGAAAATGCACTAGGGATATCACTAGACACAAAATCGTTCACAAGAGAACGTTGAAGGCGGAAATGTTTACTTGTGCGATATGTGGTATGAAGACGAAAAGAAAAGAAACTTTGAAGTATCATATCCTCACCTTGCACGGTTTTTTAGAAAGGAATTTGGGTTCGATGTAGATAGATTTTCTAGCTGTCTGAACTGCGTTTATCATGTCTTCCCTTGTAGCAAGTGAAAAATTCTCTCACTGGAACTCGAATCAAGTATCGAAATCCTGCTGCAAAATTAGATATGTAAATAAATAAAACTGAACTGAATTAATGGATTCATTTCTAATCACTAAAATGAACGAGTAACGCATCAGATCTTTGATGAAAAACCGGAAAAGGAATACAATCATGACCTGTGCAAATACAGTAGAATATATTACAGGTAGGTACTTTGCTGTCTGTGTTTTCGGAAATACCTACTTGAGGTCATTGTGGGGCCAAATTTAATAGTTAGGATACATTGAGAAGCCATAATATCGTTCAGCACCGTCTCAAAGTGTGATCGAAACTGTTATTTCCAATTTTTGAGCGATGCCTTTAATAATATGAAATCGTATATTTCGGGATTTGACGCTATTCCGCGTGTTTACTCTTTTTCAAATTTCTATCCCTCTGGCGGTAATGGAAATAAAATTCTTATTACGCCTGCTCGCAGAGTGAATTGTTTTATATCTACAGAATATAGCCTAAAAAACCATTTTATTCTAAAAAAAAAATTTATATGTATTTACAAAGATTGTTACCCATATTAATTGTTGATCACTATTGAAGTTTTCATGTTATACATCTTTTATCATTCAGAAAAATCTAATTGAACATTTATTAAATATTGTGATCATTTGTGATTTTGTCTCACATCGGATACTGAAATATAAGTTGTTAAGTTTGAAAATTGTAATTCGGAAATTTTCAATCACGAGCAGTTATATGTAGAGAGACGCACTACTTATTATTAATTTAGTTAGGTATGGTTACCTGATATAGTTCTTGACAAATTTTCTATATTATACATTCCACAAATACTTAACAACACAGTCTATATTATATTATTGAAAACCATACATTTCAGAATATATCTGTATGCTATTTTGAAGAAATAATTATTTGTGATCATGTGCAATCATTTACGCATTTGGTACGATAAAACAAGCTCAAAAATTACTCAAACCCAAACACAAAAAAAAAAAGTTAAACCTCGGCGCCAAATTGATCCATCTAGTTCCCTCAACAGTAGTAGAAAGTCACATCTTATTAGCGTTGGGTGGGGGGAGGATAAAAAGATGGAAAATTTCGTTGTTTTCGCAGTTTTTCGCCTATATTTTGAAAACTATGAGGTTTAGCGCTAAAGTCCCCCACACAAAAATGATATATATTGGATTCTGAAAAGAAAGTTCCCCACAACTTTTTTGTTAAATGAACGGTTACGGAGGGGGAAAATGAAAAAAATACAACTTTTGTTTCTTTTCACAAAACATGGCAAATGCTTAAGATTTCGTAACAACTTTTAGATATTAAAAAGTTGGTAAATGAATTGGGCTTTTCAGCCATGTTTTCTTGAAAGACAAATTTCTATAAAAAAAAGTCGTAAAAAAGTATTTCAACCACTTCTAACCATACTTTAGGGTGTAGTTTCATTGACAAATAATATTTATAAGCAACTTTTTTTTCTTGATGGTTGGGTTTAGGTCTAGTTTTATCGTACTAAATGTACTATTTTACAAATTGATCTGTTGAAAAAATGTCACACTTGCAATTATTCCTCATTTCCTGACTACGTAAATTAGAGATTCAAAATGAAATGACATCTCGATTTGGATTTCTTGATGGTTCTTGAGATACATTTTTGAATTAATTTTGAATCTTGACAATAATAGAAATGTGATTCGCAGGTGTGGGATTTTATATTTTGTATGCCATTTCAATTTTTGTAGCATTTTTTGTTAACTGGTATAATGCCATTATGTATAGTTATTAATATTCGTTAAGTTTATTTTTTTGAAATAGTTAATGTGCTAGAATGGCCACTCTTTGCAATTTTCAGTTTCTTACTATACCTGGTGTCCCAGATATTTTCATACAGCCAATATTTCAATGCTTAGAAACAATTTTAAAAAATTTTGAAAATTACAGTATGCCATTGTGTCAAAGTCAACTTCTGTTAAACTACCCCTCAAAAGCTACCACCAACTTGAATTATTCAAGTAATACCCTATACATTTTATGTTAATTTGTGAAATGCAATAAATTTTAACTTCAACGATCTGTGAATGTATCACATTGATAATTTGACTGATGTCCTACTCATTTGGAGTAAATTTCAAAAAAACAACAATAGATATGCATTATACAAGGAGAAAAAGTTGTAGATTTTCGCTCGAGGACAAAAAAAACATGAGCAAAAATGTGATATGTTCCCTTTGTATAATACAATATTTTTTTCTGTGACAGGGAAAAGGACGAATCAATATTGAGAAGATATTACATTATATTAAAATCAGAATTATCGACCTGAAATTTGAAGTTTTTAACAGGAATTACACCTTCGAAGTAAATATCTGCCATCTCATTCTGTGATTTGATTTCAGAAAACTGCGAACTTAGTGGTTGTTTAATAATTTACGTAAAGTTAGTATTGTCGAATTGATGGCACTTCGCAAATAAAAAAAAAATTATAGGGTGTAATTTGAATAATTGAAGTTGGGGTGGCTTTTCTGGGGTAGTTTGACAGAAGTAAAACGGGTTTGACAAGTGTAATTTTGTAATTTTTTTCCCAAGCAGCATAACTGAGAAATAGGCTGTATAGAAAAATCTGGGACACCCGGTATATATCATAAGTAAAGTGACCATCTTCCATTCACTTGCTGTTCACTTCAAAAATAACTGTATACAGATTGTTTGCGGAATCGTTACTTATCGTACGTCTTCGCTAGTCTCCGCTCACAGAATCAAAACTGAAATTCATCAGAATATAATAGAATACCTTCATTTATTCAAGAAGATCATACAGTTTATGATATAGGTCTTGTCATAAAAGTTCTGAGCGGTTTGTTTTGATGATATGACCAATAGGCACAAGCAAAAAACAAATGTGAACCAATGCAAACAAAGCAAACATGCCGTTTTGACAGCTTTCAAGAACTCCGATAGGTGGCGTACGCTTATTTTCTATCGCGAATATGTGACGATTCTATTAACAATCCGTATAGTCTACAGTCTACATGATTTCATGATTCTCAGATAGTTAGGCACTAATATATGACTTGAATTTTAGCATAATTTAGAGGTCACTTCAATTATTAAATTTTTTGTATGTAGTTCGAAAAGTACCTGAATGATAATGTAACATCATTGTTATTGCATTGTCATTCTAGATGACAACCTAGTTAGGTAGTTAGTTGGGTTATTGTAACTTACAAAACTGTCACCAGTCACATCATCGTTCAGGTATAGATATACTCTAGGTAGATACTTATAAATATTATGTAGTTTAGTAGGGGGGCAGTAAAATATGAGTACCTATTTTGATTTATTTGTTGAGAATTTTGTACCTATATTTGGAAAAATATATTTTTATAAATCTTTTCTTTGCTATTTTATTTTCCCTGTATACGTATACCTACATAATAAAATATTCATTATGAACTTCTTTGATCAGGAATAATCTCCTCAAAATATTTTCACAGCAAACCTAATTCAAGTTTGAAATATATTGCATTATCATATTCAATCGTTCAGATACCAGATCATCAGATGGTTTTCATTGTAATAGGTTGGTACTCTCTAGGGTCCTTTGATGCAAACTGACGTATTTGTCATCCAACAGGGTACGGACAGATCATAGCTCCTTTCTCTTTTTTTATCATCCAGTGACTTTGGTTTCGTGTATTGGTGTCCCTGACATGACATTGCTGTCACGTCACATCATAGGCGTTGAAAGAGATTTTAATTTCATCTCAATACCACATTATTCAATTCTGTTTTGGAAGGATGTAAAATGTGCTGCCTTAGGCTGTATCAATCAGTTGGATGGCAAATTTGAGTTTGTCAGCTTTCCATTAAATACAAATGAACTTATTAGAACATGGAAAGTGAAGTGACCGAATGGGGAAAATTGGTAAATACATCAGCAAAATATTCGAGGTAAAATTAATACTAAATCACATATTATACTTTCTCATTGTGCCTATAATTATCTACTCCACAAGTTTTTGAATGCATTAGTAGAAACAGTTTTGATTAAAACGGAGGATTAAAGGAAGAGGCATATGCCCTACCATTTAAAAAAATATACTTATACATTCAGTAAATATTAAGTGTTCGTGAAAAACTACAAAAATGATTCCCAACATGAATATATACAGCACACACATGACATATGAGTACATTAGTTTGAATACCTACATGAACTTTTTCAACATTTCTCAACCATAAGGCTCCGAAATCAATATTAATTTATTGATAGGTACTGCAGTATACTGCCTAAGAACAGTCCCATTTGGTAAAACGTATTAAACTTTCAGAAAAATTTGCTCACTGCCTCAAAAAGAAGTTGAAAAATCAAAAACTCAAAAATTATCATCATCATTTGGATATAATATGTAGAGTTGAATGAGAAATTACATGTGAAAATTACGTATGGTACGCCAATGTCCTCAATATAACCTAAAAAACAACAAATGTCAGAAATCTAGTGTTTATCCCCAGAAATGAATAAAGATGGAACTATAACTGTTTCACAAACACTTTAGAGTGAGAGAAGACGAGGATCTGTCCGTACAATACGTATATTTACATCAAGGGACCCTAGTACTCTCTAGTAGGAGCAATAAGGATATACTACTACAAATTAAATTTCCTTCCTTCCTTTGATATAAAGTTCATGGTATATACTCACGGTTTGTCTACACAAATTGGGACCAAACGGCTGGAAATGGTCAAACGTTTTGTCTAACAACTCCATATTTGATATCTTTACGAATTTCACGAAACATCCATCGACATCACATTTCCAAACGTATGTTTGTTAATTGTAAATAATGTATAAATAGCCTCTACCTGATTCAAATGATTAATCAGGTAAATGAAATTATAATTGTGAATACAATCAGAGAGCAATATCAGTATAATATACCGTCTTTGTCATAAATTGATGAGAACTTATTTCGAAAACTTTGGGGATTTTTCAGTGGTTTTGTTTCATCTTGTTGGTACACCTTTTCAGCGCCAACTCTTCGATCCTGATAAGCTGTTTGCAATCCGTGAGTTTGAATCACATCACAATAATGGGCTTTCTACACAAAAAAACTATCTTTGTGTAAAAGAATTTTACTAATAAAACATCTCATTAAAAAATTTGGTAGAGGTTACTGTGAAATAAAATAATGGCACTGTCCCAACGTCAATACAATGATCGATACAACCGTAACGCAAAAGCACAGTTTTCGCCCTGTTATTGGCAAGTGGAAGAGCTTCGCACTGATTTTCAAGCTAGTGGTGTAAAGTAGTACAGAGTCTAATTCCACAGTGGGCGTGTCCTGATGCACATAGGGGCGTGTCCTAGCTTCCTGGCCTACAGATTTCAAAACTTCACAGGAATTTGACAATCTTGATGCCTAAAACACAAGAGTAACGATACATCGCTATACGACTCTACCGTTACCACCGATACAACAAGGCCAGCAGACTCTGACGTAAACAGCGTGTTTTATTTTATCGCTTGTCGACTAACGCGTCAGTTCGTGTTAATTCATCGGTGATTCACGTATGTTTTTGAAACGAATTCTTTTGTTGTTTATTCATCAAAATAATTGGCAGAAAAATTACTGTTTTGTGAAATATTTTGTGTTTTAATCGGCGAAATAACAATGCCTTTCAAGTGTTGTGTTCCCTTTTGTCGGGGGAATTATGTGGGTGGTTCAAAAGTTCATGCTTTTAGTTTCCCGTTGGACGAGGAGCTATCGAAAATGTGGGTATATGCAATTCACCGCGAGGATTTTACTCCATCTAAGTTCAGTAGTAAACAGAGCTTAATTTATAATGATGAATTGATAATAGAAGACAATTACTCTCTCATCAAAAGTATAAGTAGAGGAAAAATAGAAAAGCTTTGATTGTGTAGTTAGTTTTGTATTCGTATATTATAGTCAACAAAATCATCTCTGAATTCGAGGAAATTTTCTTGAATGTTCATAATAAACGGGCATTTTGAATTCTCATTCTCAAATTTCTTTCTGAAAACGGTCATTTGTCTCGTGGCAATGAATGCAGAATTTATTCCAATGATCAAATTGCAACTATCATATTAACATGAACTACAAACACTCTACTTAAAAAGGTGAAACTGCATTTATCATGATATTTATCATGAAGATATTTGACTAAAAAGTTCCAAATTTCACCTTCTTTTTCACCTGTCTTCTGGATAGCATTTAGAACAAATTTCCCTTCTTTTTTCATCATATTGGACAATTTATATATAATTCAACTATAAATATGATTTTCTTGAGATTAATCCATATTTAGTGAAAAGAAGGAAGAATATCATTCAAAATAATGGCGTGTGTAATGTCATTCGAAAGCAATCTATTGACATTTGACATCTCGTATTTTGATTGACTATTGATTAAATGGGTCGTCATCTGGAATGCTTGTTCACTAAATATGAAAAACTCGCCATAAAAATCATATTTCCTGTTGAATTTTCTATATAAAAATGTGCCATCGAAGTACATCATGAGTATATAAAGTGTCCAATGACAAAATAAGAGCAAGTAGCTTCAAATGCCCCCAACACAAGGGGAGAAAGAAGGCGAAATTTCGAACTTTTTCTCGAAATATCTCAATAAATAGTGGTTTGTTCACATTTTCATTATAAAAAATTCGGTTTATCAGACAAGAACACGTGAGTACCGAAAAAAAATTTCAAAAAAAAAACCATCGCATGATAAATGCAGTTTTACCCTTAAAAATTACGGTTTCAAGTGTAACGATCCACTTGGGTGAAAAATCCAACAACAGAAAATTGAAAACACTCACTGGTTATTTTTTCAGGTAATGGGAATTCTCCAAGATAAATAGGTAATTGTAACAAACGGCACATCAATCAAAATAAAATACATTTTCCACAATTTTCTTTCGATCAATCTCACGATAAGTTTATGTTCTGCGGGCCCTGTATAAGTAGGTGTGAAGTTTACCTTCACCACAATTTTTGCCAATATATTTAATTCGAATGGGTTGCTGTAGGTGGATATTTGTGTTTTATCCTGGTTTTTGCTTTAAAACTTCGTTTTTCCATAATAAAATCGAATGGGGTGCGGAGAAGGGCTCAGTTGACGACTGGCATCCTTTTTTAACCGGAAGCCCTTCAAAAAACAGCAAAATCGGCTCAATGATGATCTAAAACTAAAATTGAAATACGCGGTCGCCTTATAGCGCTATAAGCGCTTGTCGTTTCGAGCCGATGGTTAGGCCTCACTAAGTGACGTCACCCACGGAGCATGCAGGCCTTGTTGTATCGGTGGTAACGACTCTACGCTATACTAGTGAAGTCAAACAGGCTATAGGTATATTACCTGTATAAAAGGGATAGATGATATGAAAGTCCACAGAAGGACGTTGAGGATGCTGAGTCCAAAAATTGGCAAAGTTTCTAGGTCTACATAATCCAAGTGAAAGATCCATAGCAGACCAGAGAGGGCAAAAGATATGTCTGTGACAGCCAAGAGACATACAGATGGTGCAATCCTATCATTGAAGTGATTCAGAAGTTTCTTAAAATCTTCAATATCCTGAAAAACGTATTCAATAGAAGGGGTGGGCGATAGTGATTTTGGATTATTGATTATCGATAATCACAACGTATCGATCGATATTACTGATATTGTCGATATTACCGAATTGATATCATCGATATTACCGAAATGATCGATACCTATTATCGATAAATCGAAGTTTTTATCAATTATCGATATCGTCGATATTTTTTTTCTCAAGTACCTCTTATTCTAACAGTGAAAGTATTCAAAAAACCTAAGTATAGTTGTTTTTCGTACCCTCATCCATCCTAGTGGTTGAACAGGAAACTGTAATAACTTCTCTTTCATGAATTGAACATATGAAGTTAAAAGCTGAGCTTGTAGACAGTAATTGGACACCACAGTCGCTTGTACAACATCATGCCACAGTGTACAAATCACCAATAAAATTTTCATCGAAAGAAGTACGATTGGTGAGCTGAAAAACTGTGTTTGTTCGCAGTTTCATTGAGATTATTGTAACGAACCTTTTTTTCATCCACTTGAAGTGGATTCCTGCATCTGACATCATATAATTGACAACTATAAAAGAGAGGGTCATCCAAACTAAGCCGCATATGACGAAAAACCAAAGGGTCCTCACTAATTTTCTTTGGCTCATGAATCCAGTGGACAGATTGGTTGAAATGAGGAATACCTAAAACAAAGTCTTAGCCAAGCCATTTTCATGCTTGGTCGAGAACTTTGGACAAAGAAAGTTCATACACACCGGCAAAAAAATGGCTAGGAAAAATGGCTCACGTTTTGTTTGTGCAAATCGGACAAGCCGTTTCAAAATGACAAGCGTTTGAAATGTACCTCGGAAACAGTAAATCACGTTCGGATTGAATTCGGAAACCGATTTTTTCTACTACTGCTATGAAAAGTAGAGCATTTCTCATAGCTCACTCAGTTTCAAAACCATGTATTGCTCATACTGTGAGAAATATTTTTTCCTCCGATTGGCAGCAAATATTAATTTTGCTGACACATATCGATCAGCAAAGTATTACTTTTCCTGCCTAGGCAGCAAAGTGGGTACTTTGCTGCCTAGGCCGCAAAATGGTTACTCTGCTGATTGAGATGTATCAGCAAAATTGAAAATCCATAAATCGTTTATAATTTCCTTCATATTTCATCCGAGACTTCTCCGGCAACAAATTCAACTCTATATTTTTTGCCACCTCCCTTATTAATGGAGGTGTAAGTATACTTCCAGGTCGCTATCACTGTCCATTATATAATAATTTAAATACACCGATATTTTTTCGCACAACAGTCAGAAATTTCATGAATTGTCAAACCAACAACTGCGATTTTTATCAAATTTTATTTTAATTGAATACTATACAGGAAGTATAAAGAGATTGTGGGAATTTTATTAATTCGCAAAAATATTCTCCCATATCATTATGAACAATCGGAGAAAAAATTATATGTTCAACTCGGCAGCAAAGTAGATTGACTGCCTTAGCTGGATTCCTAGCCTCGCTACGCTCGGCTATGAATTCAGCCACGGCAGTCAATCTACTACTTTGCTGCCTAGTTAAACAAATAACTATTCTCACGGCACTTTGCCAACACCACATACATTGCCATGGAGAATCAACAAAAATAGACCAAAACTTGGCTGCTGTTCAGCTTTGAATAGTTGTCACAACTGTCAGAAGAAGTTTTTTAAATTCTTTAGTGCTCTTGATAGAAATCGCATTTTCCATCAAATATTATTCCAACAATGGGCGTGTACACCTTAGTAGATCTTTTAACTCAAACCATGTTTAAAATGATCCTTTTATACATAAATAATGATTGACGACATAATTCGATCGAAAAATTAACTGGAATGTTTCATTTTTGGACATAAATAATAGTACCTTCTGAAAACGGACCCTCTTATGACGTAGAAACCTCATCTCGCCATAGTTAAAAGAAAATACCAAACGCCCGACGGAGTCTGAGGCAACTGATATATTAATCCTTCCAACTGTGATCTCGCGCTTATTCACTCTGTCAGAAATCATGTATCATTCATCTCTGTCTGGAATAGTCTTGTTTCAGTATTAGGGTTTTGACGTCACATCATCGCCTCGTTTTCAGAGGTCCGAAAAATCGGGGATTTCAATAATTTTTTATAAAACGTAGGGAGCTCACAGCAAGAAACGGTTTGCGGTGGTGAGCTAGTTTGGGTGAGTTATATCGAATTATGAAATAAATTTTTTTTGTGATATAAGCCCATTCATAATAAATAATATGATGTATATACCGAGATGTGACGATTTTGATAAATACACCGCCAGAGACAGAGATAATGGAAGAAGCTGCGAAAGTTGGATTTGTTTCCGGAAATTTCAAGAAAAAAGTATGAATTGGCTAAAACGAAAAATTAATGGAATCTAAAAAATACAGAAATAAAATCTTTTTCGGGAAGTGTACTTTTCTGAAATACTTTGAGGAACTAGGAAAGGCGTCTACTCTTTGGTCACAATATTCAATGTGGCATAGTGCCACATTATAAAATGATCACCAATAAGCTACATTACTCGGATTCTTTGAATAAGTGCAGTTGTAGAAAAAGTATAGTGTGCAACATGTGAGGAAAACCACTTTTCCCACTTGTTGCACAATATACTATTTTCGTGTCAAAAAGTGAACGATAGATATTTCGAGCATGTTTGAGCACTTGTTACAATTCCTACTTGAAATTCTGTCGAAATTAAGAGTTATTTAGGTTTTTTATTCATTAATATTAATATTTGAAGCAAATTTCAAACGCTTTTCGTTTCGAAACGGCTTGGCCGATTTGTACAAACGAAGCGATGTTGGATAGAAAATCGAAAGGCCTTCAAAACAAGGTACCACGTGACCTCTCTTTATATTTGAAAAAAAAAAAGTTGATGGTGCCCACTTGACACTAGTTCACGTGAAAGAGGTACCTTTTTGCCTGAATTTTACCCGACCTTGCTTGCTTGAGGAGGACTTTTTACGTCCTCACTGTATAGTTCGAAAAAAACTCACCCTCTCCATGAGTATAGGCAACTGCTCATCATCAGTACTCCTCAATACAAATAGCAAATGCAAATAGGCCACTAGATGCAGCAGACCCGGTACCACGAAGCTAAACAGCACGGACCCCTCGCAAGTCCTTTCGTGCACCGTCTCCAACTCCCTCATCAAGAGCAAACTCCCGTTTTGCTGCAGAGACACGTAGCAGAAGCCCCTGTCCCTCCTGAAACATGCCATGTACTGCAAAACGTACCCCAGGACCATCAGAAGGACCACGGAGAGCGTATAGGTACCGCTCAGGATCCTGAGGCATATGCAGACGTCTCGGGGTTCGTTGGTGAGAGGCCTCAGCCCCATGAGGCTCAGGAAGCGCAGGTATGGGGTGAGGATTTTTTTCTTGCAGTAGTGCAGTACGGTGGTGACGCTGTTGTCTGGTAGTGGGACCTCGAACGCATCGTTATCCTAAAGTCAAGGTGAATATATCATTAGATGGTGAAACTGGGGAAGTTTCCTTCAGATGCATTTTCATAAAATGAGTTCGGAACTCTCCAGTTTCATGTCCACGCTGTGCAGAATGGCGACCGACAAAGTCCAAGTCGTTTTTATTTTCAAATTGAAGCAATTTCTAATTTTCGGAGCGGAAAACTGTGACTTACATTCTGAATCTAGTCTGAAAATAGCTGATGGTGAAGAATATAGCTAGCGAATAGCTAACGAATGAGAAACGAATGAAAAAAATAGAAGTAAAACTGGTGAACAAAAACATACATAACCACAAATGTACTCGGAGCAGGAACACAGAAGGTAGTTGGCTTATTCATTCTGACAGGTTATGGTTTTGCTATTTATGCATCGAAATATCTCGAATAGAGCCCTATCCTAAACGAAAATATCATTGAATCAATGAATCACTATCGGCTACATTCAATGATACTATCCTTCCTAATTTACTGCCATCGGTCAGAACAGAATGAAGCCGACACCCATTGATCCTTCCTCTTGTTGTGCCTGTCAGTATTTTGAGTGGTGTGGAGGGACTGGAAGTATTAAGCGCTGTTGCAAGATATAATCTGCAACTTTCCTAGAAAATAGATCCGTTTTATTGTGGAGCGAATTCATTAGCAAAAAAATGACCGACAATAAGTTATGATTCACATATTGTAATATAACGATAGTGAAAAATTATAGATACTATCGCAAAATATCATAATTTATCTTTATTAGTAATCAACTTCATTCAGCCAATGGGAGATTCATGGGAATTATTCATAATACCTACTTGACAAAGTAGGATTGAAGAACCATTTTCACGTATCGAAAATTTAAGTTGAATCACTCGTCCGCTTACTATGATTTCTCTACGTCAGATCGAGCGACACGGTAAATCTACTTCTTTCCGCTAGATGGTGATGCTGATATTGCTGTTGAGACGAGTGTGACCATTGAAAACAAACTGACAAATGGCATTTTTAGTTCGCGGAACATACGTAAAAGTGGGTTCATTTCACTCGAAATTCGAAAAATCTGCAGCAATTTCAACATTGACAGATGTCCTAATTGAGCATGTTGCCATCTATTAGAAGATCGCCGAAACCATTGTTCTCGAGAAGTCGAGAAGAATTTCTGAAACAAAAGCGCATCAGTAAGCAGAGATGTCACCCAGTAGGTGACTGATCTCTGCAGTAAGTACACCATCTACTTATGGTGTGATGGACGCGGGAACTCAAGCAAATTATTCAAACATTCAGCCCTGTAGTGGGGTATATACCTCTATTAGATGTTGAAACGGCCCCGTCATCTTGTGTAGTACAACGGTTGAGTTTAAAAACAGCTTAGGCTGAGACTCCGCCCTTTCACCAATAATAATGATTGTAATATCGTATCTCCACTTGAATCCTTGTTTGTATGTACATTGGTGAATAAAGACGTATTATTATTATTATTATTATTATTAATATTTAAAACATTAGAAAACATTGAATACCAGCAGTACCCACAAAACTATGACCTATTTTTTGTGAGACATTCCCAATAGCTCCCCACTTGAGATATAAGATGAACAATTGATAGTTTTTGAATTTTTCAAGGTTTTTTATCGCTGTTTCCCAATTGGTCCCCTCCTAAAGTATGTAAGTCAATGTGTATACAAGGTGCCACCGTATTCATTATAGACAAGCCATATAGTTTCCAGAGTTCTGATCGGATGTATGAAATTCAAACTTGGCAGGGGAGTTGTATTCAAGAATGGGCGAATGATAATAAATTATAGGCATTCAAATACTCCACTGTGTTGTTAGGAACTTAATTTAATTTTTGCAACACTTCTGACGCTTTTTTATGTAAATAATGAATGAAATTGTTGAATTTCAGAAATCATTTCAAACGAACCTTCATGGCCGCCATTTGGCGATACTTCGAATAAATGGTGACGTCATTTTGACGTCATGAAGCAAGGTTGTCAGGTCACAAATTATAATCAAGTTATCAAAAAGATTTTAGAGTCCTGCCGTTGAATAGAACATAATAGGAGGACCTCATGACATTATAGTTCATTCTTGAATTTTTCGAGCAACCAGCATGTCCAAATATTTCTTATTCTCCATAACAAACATCATCTAAATGTTGGAGACTTTGCAACATTGTGCTGAATGCTGACAACTGACAAGACCACGACCACTCCACTTCATACTCTCCCATCACCTCCGGTTTCAACGAAAACGACCCCAATTTTTGATTCACAAATGGGTATTTTATTCTATAATTAGTTAGTGATTATCATAACGAATTCAGCGATAACAGGTCGTTTGATAGGGTTATTTCCAAAAGATTACGAATATATTTGAGTTCGAAGTTTCCATGAGTTCAATGGGTGTGAAGGCGCAATATCGTGTGATGGAAAGTATAAAATATTGCAAAATTTTGCCATATTTGAATCCCATACTTTCGGAACTCTGGAAACCAAGGCTAGTCGTTAAAATTCGTTAATTAATATCCGTACCAGCCATTTTCTTCCTCTTATTTCAACCAATTTTCTGTGGAAAAGCCAAGGTGACAAATTCATTGTTTTGATTTTTCTTCGTAAACAACACAATAATCATCTGAATATTTTCATTTTGTATCTTGTAAATATTTTGAATACTCACCTGCTTCGTTAATATTTCTACTTTTCTACTGTCAAAAATGAAAATGATATAGGAGGTGATACGTTATTCTTGAAACGAAAAAAAACTTACCACACTGGTTGAAGACTCATAATAATTTGATGATGTTCCATTTTTTTGCATCTTCACAGCTTCTTTGAATTCAATATCTGAAACAGTCATCTTGATAGTAAACAAAACCATGCAAAAACCTCAACAATGTATTACCTGCTCTGGAACCATCTCACACAGAAAGTGAGAAATTGCACAAAAAAAGCATAGAACTGCGAGAAACAATCAGAGGCTTGTTTTTGCTCCTGAGATATGTTACATTACACTGATAACCTTTTTGCACACCAATAAGAATAATAAAAGTGTAGGCATATCTCATAAATATTTATTTATTTTTACAAAATTACACTGCTCAACAATTGAACCAACGAAATTTTGAGGTTCCATAAAAATAGACACAAAACACTAACGAATATTTATTTTCGTTTTGCACTAAAAAATTTCGATTTGTGTGAAGATTTGATCCCGTGAGTTGGCCTCACTAGTTTTCTTCTTTCTTCTCTGTGTCTCTTGTTTCGCTCATCAATAGAAGCATTTCTCTTTTTCCTTGTTGAAAACGTCATTTCTCTATTGCCCACAGAGTTTACTAGTTTTACAGAAGTATCTTCAGCGGCCAATCTTTCACTCAAAGAGGCCCTAAAGCAAAGAAACACCAATAGAAAATTAGAACTGATTCGACAATAGTTTCGAAATTGTGACAATAAAAGCGCCTATCGTTTTTCTGAGGAAATCAGAACACAACTAATTAGAAATTTTGAAATATCTCGTTAAATATCTTGGACGTATATCAACATCAGGGACGTACTCATTTTTTTCTGAAGGGTCAAAAATACAAACTATGCCTAGTTTCCCCAAATTTGTAGTTATTTCAATCATAGATCACAAAATCTATACCAATATTATAAAAACGAAAGATTTGATTGTTTGTTTGTATTGAATAGGCTCCGATGATACTGGATCGATTTCGCTGAAAATGGGTGGGGAGGTAGCTTAGTACCAGGAGAAGGTTATAGGATACTTTTTATCCTGGTACCATTAAGAAATTCAAGATGGCGGATCTAATATAACGGACGGGTTTTGTAATTATGGTCCGATTCTATTCAAAATCGGTATCTGGGGGTTTTCGGGGTCGGAGATTATAATTCTTTCGTCAGAATTTGAAAATTTGGGCAGAATTTGGAAATTCAAGATGGCGGAACCAATATGGCGGACGAGTTTTGTAATTATAATCCGATTCTTTTCCAAATTGGTACCTAGGGTTTTGGTTTTTGGGGATTATGATTCCTTCGTCAAAATTAAGAAATTCAAGATATTATACCGGATCCAAAATGGTGGATTTCGTAATTAGGATCCGATTTTTAATCAAATTTGGTATCTGGTGGTTCACGGAATCGGAGATCATAATTCTTTCGTCAAAATTTGAAAATTTGGTCGGAATTTGGAAATTCAAGATGGACGGACGGGTTTTGTAATTATCGTCCGATTCTATTCAAAATCGGTATCTGGGGGTTTTCGGGGTCGGAGATTATAATTCTTTCGTCAGAATTTCAAAATTCGGGCAGAATTTGGAAATTCAAGATGGCGGAACCAATATGGCGGACGATTTTTGTAATTATAATCCGATTTTTTCCAAAATTGGTACCTAGGGGTTTTCGTGATCAAGGATTATGATTCCTTCGTCAAAATTAAGAAATTCAAGATATACATTTCTCCTGAAGTAACAAAGCAAAGACAAAATACAATAGTCAATACAATGTAATATTATTTGAAGATATAAATCATCCTCAACAGTACATACTTATTAATTTTCCTTTTGAGACTATGAATTCCTTTGAATTCTTCACCCTGCCTAATTTCATATAATTTCAGCTGATTTTTACTCTCTTCCTCGCGTCTTTCTTTCTCTTCTTGCCATTCCTTTGCTTTGTGCTCTCTCTGGATGATTCGGTGCTGTTTTTTTACGTCTTTGGTCCATGTGTGTTCATCATCTGAACTTTCTTCAGCACCAGTTTCATCTTCTGATTCATCTGAACTATTTTTACCCTCCATTTCCTCCTGAAAGCAATTGACACATGAATCATTCATTCAAACTCTTTCATTCCAAATTTTCTCACCTCTACTGGTTCAAAATCTTGAGATACGAATTTCTGTTTCAGTTTCTTCATTTTGTCCTTATCTAACCTAGATAAGACAGGATTGAGCAGCCTGTATTCGTCAGTATTTTTGTCAACTTCAAAATCTGGATTTTCGAAAAGAGCTTTGAATCTATTGTCTGACAATAGTGAAGTTGCAGCAGCTTTTTTCTTTTTATTATTTTCATCGTCCATGAGCTTGAGGGCAAGGTCTTTGTTAACTTTTGGGAGCTTATTGATTTGAACTCTGTTGGCCCTATCTTTGTCAATGGTTTCTCTGATTTTCTTTTTGCGGTATTCCTCGAATTCGAACGGGTTTGCAACCGATTTCGCTTTTTTGTACAACCGTACATCCATAAAGTATCTATAAAGTGAGAGAATAACATTCCAGAATTCACATTATACTCAATTATTTGATGTGAGATGTCCTGTAAGGAATCATTTCAACTACTATTGCTTCAATCTATATAAATTACCCTTGAAAACAAGTAATATTAGAGGATATACCCAGCAAACATCATATTTCTGGCCCAAGCTACACTGGTCGTCTACCCATTATATGGAATATTGAAATCGTTTAACTATAATCTAGTCCGCACCGTGCCAAATAGAGTATGATTATATTTCAGTTTCAATTGAAAAACCTAATTTTTAGGACGGCGGAATAGCGCAGTTAGTAACAAAGCCTACACAGAACACACATGGGCTGAAGGACCTCTCGTAAGGTCGATGGCCAGTTGGTATATGTACATACATGTATACCAACGAAGTACATATATACTTACTTACCTTATTTAAATGCAATGAATGAATATTAGTAGTAGTAGTAGTATATGTACTTGGTTGATATGTATGTACATAACTCGGTACATACCAACTGGTCATCGACCTTACGAGTGGCCCTTCAGCTAATTAGTGTTATGTGTGGGCTTTGTTACTAACTCCATACGCCACCTTAGGAGCAGCACTGTTGATTGGAACGCAACAGCGAATCGGGCGGAATCAACTCCGGCCGAGGCTACGAAAATTAGAAATAATAACTCGTTTCATAAATGAAAATTCTCTGCTCTGCCAGGAATCGAACCTATCAAACTCTCGGCGCTATTCTGCCGTTCTTAAAAAATAGGCAAGTCGTCTGACTCATAAATTAGGTATGACAGAAATTCGGTAGTCAACCGGAGAATCAGATGCTTCTGCTTGTTCACCGTTTGTTTGTGGAAATATGTAAATAAATTCCGTACACACAAATCAGTTCAATATAGGTTTAGTAGTTCAGTTGGAATATAACAATTTGTAACCAAGTGATTGCAGAGGACCGAGGTTCGAATCCCGTGGCGGTCGTCATTTTTTTAATTGAATGTATCGGCAGACATGTACTGGCCCTGATGACGGCCATAATCTCTTATTGGTACTGGCCCATCAATGTTCACAGGGACTTTATCGTTCTGACCGATTCTGGCCAGCATAAGGCCGACCAAAATTGTTTGCTGGGTAATTATTATTGACCTTTTCTCTTTATAATAATTGCTCAAAATAGCGATTCATGTACCAAGGACGAAAAACTGTCATTATAGTCGAGTCTGCATATTGAAAGCCGTGGCTCAGCCGAGGCTAGCAATCAGGCGAGGCAATGGACAGTTTTTGCCGAGGTGCATATTGAATTTGTTCGTCGACCTCAAACATTTATATCTACATCACAGTCCTATTCACACGTGAAATCTATCGGATTTCATGAATAAGAAAGATTAATGAGATAATCCTATGATGTAAACAGAAAAGTAACCTTTTTCCATCAAAATAGAAACAAACAAAATAAATATTCTCACAATAAAATAATCATATATATCCCTGATTCTCAATTTAAAAATACTCACAAATATCACATAATACAGTTACATAGGTACTTTTAGTATATAGTAGTATATAAAAATCAGGTAGGAATATAGTAAAAACGAAAATTAAACATAAAAGAAACAAACTGTTATAACAGACATATATAAAAAATTGAATTTGATCTGAATCAGATAAAGTATTGCCCTTTTTTGGTTTATATACAGGGTGATCCACGGTGGATGGCCTATTAGAAGTATCTGGAGAACGAAGAGACAGAACATTGTGAAAATTGGGATCCTTCGATAATTGAACATTCTCTATCCGCCTAAAATATTTTCATCGATACAGTGTTGCCACTTTTATCAGAAACAACTAGCAACATTGTTATTTCAAATGGAACACCCTGTATTTTATTGCATTTTCAGATTCCTCCTGAAGAGCTGATTTCATCAATGTATCACACTTGGGGTCTAGCAGGAATGATTACAGAGATATAGGGTGTTCAAAATCGAAATTTTTCAATTTTAGGATTTTTTTGTGTCGAAACTATTGATTATCGATCAAAACGGCACACATGTCCCTATCTTGACTTCTGATTCACTATCTACTGGAATTTAATTGGAAAAAATACAGGGTGGTCCAAGATTCAGAATTTTGATCACCCTGTATCTGTTCCAATTAAATGTCAGTAGATAGTGAATCAAAAGTTAAGATAGGGACATGTAAGCCGTTTTGATCGATAATGAATAGTTTCGACACAAAAAATTCCTGAAATTGAAAAATCTCGATTTTGAACACCCTATATCTCTGTAATAATTCCTGCTAGACCCCAAGTGTGATGCATTGTTGAAATCAGCTCTTCAAGAAGAATCTAGAAACGAAAAAAAAATACAGGATGATCCATTTGAAATAACAAAGTTGCTAGTTGTTTCTGATAGAAGTGGCAACACTGTATCGATGAATATATTTTAAACGGATAGAGAATGTTCAATTATCAAAGCATCTCAATTTTCAGAATGTGTTGTCTTTTCGTTCTCCAGATACTTCTAATAGGCCATCCACCGTGGATCACCCTGTATATTGTGAGTGTATATCATTAGTACCCATATGTAAATTCATCACTTATTTTGTAAAATTAATTTAAATAGTGCATGCCGAAATATCATGCAATTTATAGGTGTATGTGATTAAATAAAGATTAATAATGATAGGTTATAATAATAATAATTGAGTGTCAAAATATTTTCACTAGGTTATGAAATGTTTCAGTACAGTTGGTTTTTCGTTCGGAAATTAGAATGTAAAATGTGATTTTTTTTGAGGTCCAGGAAAAATATTTTACCTTTGAACATTTCAGTATTAACGAAAAAAACTCATATGAAATATTGTAATCATCCATACTCTGTTACAGTCCTTGCAATGTATCCTAATGTGAAAATAATGTCATGATTTTATTTTCATTTTCATCAACCAAAATATGTTCAATAATGTTCACATGGAAATTGAATTTCTATTTTAAAATCAATGAATTATTCAATATTACCCATGCATGTAGGCTCTCAAGAGATTAGTGCCTATGAGATGATCCAGTCCTAAATTCTCTAATTCTTGTTTAGTGACAAACTTGTAGTCATCATATACATTCTCAGCACTGTTTTCTTCCAACTCTTCAGTTAGAGAATCCAAGAAACTAGCCCATCTAGGGGCAGGGCCCATACTAGGTATATAGTAAGTTTGGATTTTTGTGTTTTCATTTGCAAGAAATATTAGCCCAGTATTTGGAACAGTACAAAGATTGTTAAATTCTGTTGAAGCTTCAATAGAGGTGTATAACTTTCCCTAAAAATATTAATTTTAATAGAAAAATAAATAGATAAAGAACTGAATTACATTATTTTTGTCCCAAATTTTCAAAATAGAACTATCCAATGATAGAACCAAATCCTGCTGATGATGAAACTCCACATCTTTAATAGGCAACCCATACATGTGATCTTTCATATAAAAAGGCTTATTTGATCTTATATCATAAAGCAATATCTGTCCTGTTGTAGTACCAACACCTAACTGAAGTGCTCCATTGAATTTTAAAGCTGATACTGATGGAAATCCTTCCAACCTTGAAAAAAGAAAAGAATGTTAACACACAACTGCACTGACATTTTCAAACAACATACTCCTTATTTTCTTGTACACAGGCAAAAGCACAATCCAAACTAGCAACCATACTTTTACTTCTAGGGTCCCAGGCTTCAACTTTACCTTCTTGAGTGCCACAAATCAATAAATGGTGCATTGGATTCACTGCACATTTATTTATAGCAGAGGCATTACTGCTAAAAGGTGTCATGAATTGTCCTCGTTCTAAATTCAACCTATACACTTCAGAAGAAGCACCAACAACAAATAGATCACATGAAGGATAGTGATACTGCATGTCCCTACCAAACTTTGGTATTCTCAACCTATAATACCGGCCATAACCAGCATGAAATTCAATGTACCTGTCACACTGGAGAAACACCAACTTACTGTAGTCATCACTCAGCACTTCGAATGTAACTGCCTCTGAATCAAAACATCTCTCGAATTTCAATGAAAGATTGTTTACATCAAAACATTTCACTCTGGGCTTGTAAATACCTGTAGCTAGGATGTATTGTCCATCTCTCGATACTTTCACTGTCGTGCTAAGCCCTGGCATATCAAAGTCCTGGATAAGTTCGATTCTTCGTCTGATATCCACATTTTTCTTCAATAGTGCTCTCCGTTTTCGCTCTGACAACCACTGAAAAAGCAGTGTAGGAATAGGGATTGCACATTGATGAAAAGACTTACCTCTGGCAGAGATTTTCCAACACTGAGATTATAGATTTTCACGTTATTTGGATCTGAAACCTGCATGTTTGATGCGTAAATCAACTCATCGCCGTGGTCCCTGGTTTTGTTATTGTTTGAGGTTAGGTCATGACATGCCAGATTGCGGGGTTAAAAGTAGTCTTCTTCTGTTGTTAGTCTTTTAGAATTGATCCCAATCCCTGTCACAATAGTCGTTAAATCGTTGTCGTTGAAATGATGGAAATGTGTCGTTGACAATGGTTTGACAAATGACAACTGACGCAATGTGGTGATGAGAGGGGGTTTAGGTTTAGGAGGTGGATATTTGAAATTTATTGGAAAAACTGGGGTTTTCTTTTTCCTTCCATTTTATTTGTATAGATTTTGAATGAAACATGAATTATTTATTTAGATATCTAATCCACCTGTGTCTGTTGAAGATCGCTTCACTTAGTGCAGTTGTAGATCCTAAACTTTCTCGAATATGGGGCCCTGGTTTATATGGTGACAAAATTGTGATGCCAGCTAGATATTTCTTTGTAGAATTAGTAGATCAAAGCAATAATAGGTAAAATGTAAGTACAAAGCTGCATTACCTCTATGTCATTATAATTTGGTTTCAGTATAAGACAAAATTATAAGCTGATCAATGTAGTAATAGATGGTTCAACAAAAACCAAGAAACCATGTAGACTATATACAAACATTCTAGATAGAAAAGATGGTTCATTTATAGTTCGATATAAACTATATGAAACTTGTTCCTACCTAAAAATCAATGTAGGGTATGAAAATGATCTCTTAGCTGATTCTCCTTATATTATTAATAATGATGTGCATATAGATGAGTGCTTGTGCCCTAAAAAAGATGTTGATTCTTTCCTGGAACAGTGGGATTGTGGGGCAGTTCCTCCACTCATTACACACAGATTGAAAGAATTTGGTCAAATAAATTGGGAAACTCAAAGAGAACAAGTAAGGTAGACTTGTAAATGATTTGACATTATGTTTGTTTTTGTAATGACTGTTTCTAGTTGATTAAGCAGTTTGATAAACCACACTCAGTAAGTTTATGCCATTACATTGTGAAGAACAACCAGATTCACAGAAAATGTTATGGTAAATATGTTGGGTTCAACATGTTTGTTGATAATATACTGTTATCCTTGTCAAGAAAAGTTGTTTTGCCAGACACAGAATTTTTTGCTAATCTTGGGGATTGGCCCCTATCCACACATGGTATGCATGAAAAGTATCCAATTTTTTCTTGGTGTGGGAGCACTGATAGCTATGATATCATAATGCCCACCTATGATATTACTGAATCTGCATTAGAAAATATGGGAAGGTAAACTCCACAGAAATCACTAGGCACATACCTACTATAACTTGTGTGCTGATTTTTTTAGAGTAACCCTTGATATTCTTTCTGTGCAAGGAAATGTGGAGGGAACTTGGGAAAATAGGGCACCCAAATTATTCTGGAGAGGAAGAGATTCAAATAAATATCGCCTAGAGCTTATCAAGCTATCAAGGAAGTATCCTGATTTGTTCAATGTTTCACTCACAAACTTTTTCTTCTATAGAGATGAGGAAGACATTTATGGACCAAAGAGTGAACATGTATCTTTCTTCAGCTTTTTTGATGTATGTGAGCAAACTAGATATTTAGAATGTCATTGATACTTGTGGTTTTAGTATAAATATCAGTTGGGAATAGATGGGACAGTAGCCCCGTACAGAATGCCATATCTACTAGCAGGTGGTTCACTTGTATTCAAGCCTGAATCTAAGTATTTTGAACATTTTTACAAAGACTTGCAGCCAAATGTTCACTATGTGCCAGTGAAAGAAGATATTTCAGATTTGGTGGAGAAGATCCAGTGGGCAATTGAAAATGATGAAGAAGCCAGGAAAATTGCAATGAATGGGCAGAAGTTTGTCAACAGAAATTTGTTACCAAAAGATATAATATGCTATCATGTCCATCTTCTCAATGAATTTAGTAAAGTCATAACTAGTGCTGTAAATGATTTCAAAGACATGGAAACAATTCCTCAGAAGAAAGTGATGGACTGTGATTGTTCAGATGGAATAAAAGATGAGTTATGAATCATGAAAACATGTACCAATGACAGTATATTTTAATGAATCTCAATTCTTATAAAGTCTAAATAAATATTCACAAATTGTAGGTATTGTATTTTCATTCAAGTAATTATAAATCAAAATATGATTGGATAAAGAGAATTTCCTGAAGAATTAAACTGATTTTTTTTCTTGGATACTCAAAAACTTTTACTGTATCCTGCTTTATCAACATTCATAAGAATCAATTCTAATTCATGTAATAATTCTCGTTTAACAGCATCAGGGACCATTGCCCTTGCTTTAGGAGTGACCTGTGTAACTAAATCATCCACAGATGGTACATGTTTATCACCACTTTCTGTAATCGCCTTGCGACAGGCTAGCCTCACTTGATCTCTCCAGCCACTCTCAATTAGACGAGTTTGGACCAATTCTGTCACTCTAGAATAGAATTCATGTTTATATTGTTCATTTCCACTGAAGGTTTTTCTTTACCTATCAAGTCCATGATTTATATCGAGGTGCAAGTTCACTTTGGAGTCGTATTCATGTGGCATTTTCTTGACCGATGACTGAAAAATTCGAACAAACTCTTTTACGATCACAGGAGAAAACCAGAAATGATAAATTCAATAATTTCAAATTTCAATCAAAACAAAGTATTTTTGTTCTTCTTCTTCTTTGTTTTTTTAACGTCGGTCTTTTTCTGCCAATGAAGCTAATCACAAGACGCCGGTGAGCACTCTACCCCCAACCGGAAAAATCCTCTGGCGTCCCAACTGAGGTAGGGATCTTTAACGAGTCGAACATCAAATGGTTATGTCTGTTCTTCCATGAACAAGCGTCTCTAGACATACCGAAGGCTCTCTGAATCCGACGATGTTTTCCGTGATTGACACTGTTTATGGCATTAATGTCACTGACAGGTTGCGAGTTGTGGGCGTTGTGGCCTCAAAGATTTAACGACTGATCTGATCTGGCAACACTGCTACTTATTATTGGTGTTTTGTGATGACTACGAATTCTTGTTGACTGACTACGAATTTTTGAGTTTTCGATTCCGTGTTCGTGTTTGGTTTGGCCGGTTTGGCGTCGTCCATCTTGAATCTTGGAGGCTCATGTTCGATTTGATAACGTTTCGTTTCGTGATATTATATTTCCCAATTTTAAATTTCTTCTGCTCATCGTGTTTTTATTTATTAAAAAATAATTAATCCATGGAAATTATGGTTTCGAATCTATATGCCTTGTGTACATGGAATAATCCATACTGCATACGTTATTGAAACACATTAATCGAGTTCATCAAAAACGTGTATTGTGATTTATCAATATGGATTTCGCTCAGCCCCCGCCTAATTTGAACATGCCGCCCCCCAATTTGACGGCTCCCCCGATGTTGGGGATGCCAGGAATGCCAGGTAAAAAAATAAGCCTATTCAAGTATACCTATCTACTTTCTCCAAATTCAACGTATGTTTTTCATTAAATTCCCTAGGTTTCAATAGCAGGCCTCCATTCAGACCATTCATGAATCTACACCACAAACCCTTACCTGGCCCATTGGGCAACATGACCTTAGAAGATTTTGATGGCAAAAGACTTAGAAAGTCAGTAATGAGGAAAACTGTTGATTATAATGCTGCAATCATTAAAGAATTAGAGGTAAGCACCTAAAAACTAAACTTCTATTGTTCAGTTCAGCTACATTTTGCTGTTTCTTACAGAATAGGGTATGGCAAAGAGACTATAGAGATAGACGTGCCCTACAACCTGACCCAATGTACTACCCTGATCTGATGCCCCCTCCCAGTTACCCTGATAACCCCATCAACTGTGTGACTACTAGATTTGTCAAGACAGCCACCAATAAGATGAGGTGTCCTATTTTTTGTATGGCTTGGACACCTGAGGGTAGAAGGCTTGTCACTGGAGCCAGTTCAGGGGAGTTCACCTTGTGGAATGGTTTGACATTCAACTTTGAGACCATCTTACAGGTGAGTGGGATATTTACAAAAGAAAGTTTCTTGCTGATTTTTAGTATTTTGATTAACAGTAGGAACCTAACTGAAACTATATTTGCTTGGCATATTATCACTTTCTGATTTTCCTGATTTGAGTTGAGGATTTTTCATACTGTATTTTTGGCACATTGATTCATTGTTCAGGTATTTTTCTAACTTTAGGAAATGAAAAAATGTATTCAAAAACATTCTCAACATACCTAAGTCTCCTATTTTTATGTCTAGGTAATTAACAACAATTAAGAAAACACTTTCAAATTGTGTAAGATATTGCATTTAGACATTTCTAATCAAATATATCTTCAATTATGTAATAATAATTAAAAATGAAAGATTGAAACAAACTGCCTGAGAAAAAAGCTAAATCCAATTACTGGCATTTTATACAAAATTCAAAATTTCATTCATCTTAGATATTTGAAGAATATATATTTCTGTCTGATTTACTCAAAATTTCAATATTTAATATCAATTTGGGGAAGCACAAGTATATCACATTTGAAGCCATTAATGAAATTACAAAATAAAACAATTAACATTTACAATTTACATTACCTGGAACCAACTATTAATCTTTACAAACCAAAAAAATCTGTTGAATTTATCATCTTTATATAAAATGAAAATTTGTTTTTTCATCCATTTTGTGAGAAAAAAAATAAAAACATTCAACTTGAACTTTACTGAAGTAAATACAATTCATACTAATGCAACAAGACAGTTGAATTCATTAATAGCAAACCAATATAACTCCATCATTGGCAAACAATCAGTATTCTACAAGGGAATCATTTTATATAATTCATTACCTTATGATTTGAAACATATATTGATGATGAAACAAGATTCAAAGTCAATATGAAAAAATATATACTCATGACACTATAAACGGAGCAATTTATTCTCATTTGAATACTTGAAATGATTTTATTTTAATTATTATGTTATATTGACATAACTTGTTAATTAGTTTTTTTTATTATATATATCATATGTTTATGTATCCCTTTTATGAACAAATATGTTTCTTGGGGTTATGAAGAACAACAGCAACAAAAATACCGTGCTGTAAGTGTGCAAGATGTTCTTTGAAACTGGTTTCATTGAGTCTTCTAGTTTGACCTACAATCCGGTTAGGCTAGTTGGTTTATATGAAACAATCTCTTGAAAACATATCTAGAAAAAAGGACTATCAGTATTCTACAAGGGAATCATTTTATATAATTCATTACCTTATGATTTGAAACATACTCATGATGAAACAAGATTCAGAGTCAATATGAAAAAATATATACTCATGACACTATAAACGGAGCAATTTATTCTCATTTGAATACTTGGAATGATTTTATTTTAATTATTATGTTATATTGACATAACTTGTTAGTTTTTTTTATTGTTTTATATATTTATATATATCATATGTTTTTGTATCCCTATTATGAACAAATATGTTTCTTGGGGTAATAAAGAACAACAACAACAAAAATACCGTGCTTTAAGTGTGCAAGATGTTCTTTGAAACTGGTTTCATTGAGTCTTCTAGTTTGACCTACAATCCGGTTAGGCTAGTTGGTTTATATGAAACAATCTCTTGAAAACATATCTAGAAAAAAGGACTATCAGTGTTCTACAAGGGAATCATTTTATATAATTCATTACCTTATAATTTGAAACATATATTGATGTAACAAGATTCAAAGTCAATATGAAAAAATATATACTCATGACACTATAAACCGAGCAATTTATTCTCATTTGAATACTTGGAATGATTTTATTTTAATTATTATGTTATATTGACATAACTTGTTAATAAGTTTTTTTATTGTTTTATATATTTATATATATCATATGTTCATGTATCCCTATTATGAACAAATATGTTTCTTGGGGTAATAAAGAACAACAACAACAAAAATACCGTGCTTTAAGTGTGCAAGATGTTCTTTGAAACTGGTTTCATTGAGTCTTCTAGTTTGACCTACAATCCGGTTAGGCTAGTTGGTTTATATGAAACAATCTCTTGAAAACATATCTAGAAAAAAGGATTATCAGTATTCTACAAGGGAATCATTTTATATAATTCATTACCTTATAATTTGAAACATATATTGATGATGAAAGAAGATTCAAAGTCAATATGAAAAAATATATACTCATGACACTATAAACCCAGCAATTTATTCGCATTTGAATACTTGGAATGATTTTATTTTAATTATTATGTTATATTGACATAACTTGTTAGTTTTTTTTATTGTTTTATATATTTATATATATATATCATATGTTTTTGTATCCCTATTATGAACAAATATGTTTCTTGGGGTAATAAAGAACAACAACAACAAAAATACCGTGCTTTAAGTGTGCAAGATGTTCTTTGAAACTGGTTTCATTGAGTCTTCTAGTTTGACCTACAATCCGGTTAGGCTAGTTGGTTTATATGAAACAATCTCTTGAAAACATATCTAGAAAAAAGGACTATCAGTATTCTACAAGGGAATCATTTTATATAATTCATTACCTTATGATTTGAAACATATTCATGATGAAACAAGATTCAGAGTCAATATGAAAAAATATATACTCATGACACTATAAACGGAGCAATTTATTCTCATTTGAATACTTGGAATGATTTTATTTTAATTATTATGTTATATTGACATAACTTGTTAGTTTTTTTATTGTTTTATATATTTATATATATCATATGTTTATGTATCCCTATTATGAACAAATATGTTTATTGGAGTAATAAAGAACAACAACAACAAAAATACCGTGCTAGTGTGCAAGATGTTCTTTGATACTGGTTTCATTGAGTCTTCTAGTTTGACCTACAATCCGGTTAGGCTAGTTGGTTTATATGAAACAATCTCTTGAAAACATATCTAGAAAAAAGGACTATCAGTATTAAAATCAATAATTGTGAATCTAAAATACTATATATAAACAAAGGATCAGTGTTGGGCCCAATTCTGTATCTTTTATACATTCAAAACATTTCAAAAATAAATTTAATAGGAAACTATGCCATATATGCAGATGACACAGCACTTTTATTTGAAAACAAAAACCCTGTAATTTTAGAAAACAACATAAATGAGGATTTGAAGAAAATGGAAGAATGACTATACTTTTCCATCAAAGAAATAAACAAAATATTGATTTGAATATTAGAATAAAAAATGGAAAAGTTAACATGGGGCAAGCATATTGGCATGCTCAAAGAAAAAATTTCTCCCATAGTTGGTGCCCTAAGAAGATGTCCAAAATTTATCCCAAATATAGGAAATACTGTTCTATACTCTCACATTCTTAGTAAAATGAACTATCTGATAAATATTTGGGGTTTATGTTCCAAGAATAATTTTAACAAAATATCTGTACTTTATAAAAAAGCATTAAAAGTACTGTACTTCCATATGACACCCCATCAAATCAACTTGATGAAGAAACAAATACATTTTCTTTGGAAGAGCACTATCTGATGAATACTCTCAAAATTTCTTTTGATATTATCAACAAACACCTCAAATCTAACTTCATTTTGGTGAGGAATTCTCAAATCCATGAACATCATACTAGACAATATGACTTGTTTCATCTTGATGCTGCTAATTCTACACTTGGTCAAAAAAAGTTCACTCAGGGAGCTATCTCAAAATTCAATAAATTACCTGATCATATCAAAAGTTGCACAAATATCACCCAATTCAAAATTAAAGTCAAGAAACATATCCTCTTGCAAAGATAAAATTAAACCTGAGTGAATGATTTTTCATTCACTAATTTATTTCATCATGTCATAATGTACTTTTCATGAGCTTTTTGTTTTATTATTTAATTTTTTTTTTAATTTCAATAACTATAATTTAATTTAATAATGCATGAATAATCTCATACCAGATATGAATCTGTCTGATTATTCATTTATTTATATGAGATGCAATGTAATGTTTATAGCAAAGAATGAAATAAATAAATATTATTATAATAAATTTCATTGAATTGACTAATAACAAAATCATCAGCAATCATTGTTGAAAATTCCAGATGTCACCACCTATAGCATCTGAAATTTTCAACTTCTGTCTTGAAACCTAGTTTTACATCTTCAAACAAATCTGACCAGATATTCCAAGATTGTCCTCCGTTTTGACTGACCAATTTTCTCTGGAAGTTTCTGTTTTTTGTTTTCTCATACCCCCTGGTATACACTTTCATATGAATGGGCAATAAATGACAGAATCATTCTCCCACTCATAGATGCCATATCATTGATGTTTTATACCCATTCTCAATTTCTTTTTTTCAAGTTGATGGTTAGTGTTAATATCAAGTATTGTTCAACTTTCTTGATAAATATATTTATTTTTCATTGTATGACCTGTTGAATTAGCTAGTATTTTACAATGATGTTATGAATATTTTCTAATTTTTATTGTAGAAAAAAACTTATTCAATAAAAGTTTGTTTGATTGATTGATTGATTAAATTTTCAATCATTGACTCAATCTGTATTCCTCAAATACCCCTAGAAATACATTTTTGAATATATCGGACGAACGTCCGCCATTTTGGATTTTGTATTTTCAAATTTTATATAAATTCATGGAAATCAGATATGGAGCAGCAAAGTATTCCAGCATCTTGAATTTTATGATTTTTATTTGAAATTCGTGTTTGTCAACCTTGAATCTCCTTGCTGTGAACTTTAACACAAATTTCACTTGAAATGTCAGAATCATCTGCCATCTTGATGGCTACTTTATGAATACCAAACTGGCTGGAATTTGTACTCCTCTACATCAAAAACCCTGTATTAAAAAAAAGCTCACAAGCATTAGAGAGAGAAATTAAGTCATGCTATTTGCATAAAATGGGCTATCATTGTTTACCAAATGTTTTTTTATTGGATACAACTGTACATTTTCAGATGAATCTGAAGATAAATGACAAATTCGTCCGCCATCTTGAAAACGTCAATGATTTTGACTCGAAATTCGTGTTTGTTCACTTTGAAATCACCTAATTGAGTAATCACACAAATTTGAACAGTCATGTCATAATAATCCGCCATCCTAACTGCGCCATCTTGATGACTTCATCTCTAATTTCACAAACTATGACTAGAAATTCGTTATCCTCGCCCTCAAAAACCCTAATATTTAGATTTTCATGCGGATCAGGCGAGAGATAACGATATTGTCCGCCATCTTGGAGACGCCATCTTGATGGTTTCATCTTGAATTTCCAAACTTCGACTAGAAATTCGTTATCATCGACCTCTAAAACCCTAGTGTCTATATTTTCATGCCAATCGGACGAGAGATAACAATATTGTCCGCCATCTTGTAGACGCCATCTTGGATTGTTTGGTGACGAAAATGTCAATAATGTTCACCTTTTGAGTGGAAACGGATATGTAGAAATGGATTAAAATTGGGCTCCAACATTTTAATGAAAGAAAATGCGGTCAGACAGTCTATTTGAATGAAAAAACATGGAATTTTCAGGCTCACGACAGTCCTGTGAGAACGATGGTGTGGAGCCACAATGACAGCTGGATGATAACTGGGGACCATGCGGGCTATGTCAAATACTGGCAGTCTAACATGAACAACGTGAAGATGTTCCAGGCTCACAAAGAAGCCCTACGTGGCATAAGGTATCTACAACTTCTCAGATTTGTACACATCTTTATATATTTTGTTGAAATAAAAAGAATCCCTCCTCCCTCTACATTAGTGCAAAGTTTAATAGAAATAAAGAGACAAAAGAAAGATGAGAATAAAATAATGAAATGGTCTGTGATAACTTTGAATTTCTGTGATGTTGAATTTTTTACGTTCAATAAATTAATTTTTACTGATAATTACTGAGTCGGGTTCAAAGATGTTTTGAAACCTGGAGTTATCTGACTGGGTTTTAAAATATTTTTGGACCTGCGTTTTTATTTTTTGAACCTTTCAATCGGTCTTCGGGGATAGTTAATAAAAAATTTAATGGAATCTACTTGTTTTATTTCATATACATTTATGGGATCCAAATGTGTTGGTAAATAAATCATTTTGAGACTGAGTGTTGAATATAGGGTTAATTCAGTGTATGCACTAATGATTCACTAAAAATTCATTGAATATCTGAAAGCTATACTGTGTGTTTGAAAAGGAGTGTATATTCTTTATTTCTTTTTTTATAATTTCACAGTTATTTTGCTATTTTCTCCTTACTGGTTGGTGATTTTTGGGCTATAGGTACTTGCTTGACATGTCTTGAATGAGTCTAAGTATGAAATTTTTCTATATTACATACCAAAAAAAATGCAATTTTCATTTCAAGAAACTCTGAATTTTGGACTAAAATTATTATGGTAATCATTTCCTTCTTATTCCAGGTGTTTCAGTATTTGGGGCTTAAGATACTTGCTTAAAATATCTTTAATAAAATGTTTTTTTTTGCTTCATTAGTTCATTTACCTCAGAATTTAAACTTCCTTCAAGGTACGTTTTTACTCAAGCCGTTTCCAGAAACAAACGTCCTAATATTGAAAAAGGCACATTTTGAGTTCAGTTTAATTCCGTTCTATTACTAATTTATTGCCTTTCCATTTCAAAAACCATCATTCGAAAATTCTTCATTATGGATAATCCATCAAGAGATAACCTAACAATAATAATCATAAAACTATAATTATTTAGTACTAAATAGCTTGGTATCCAAAATTTTTCGAAAGTCAGTCAAATCATAAATTATGAAATTATTGAGAATGACGTTTTAGTATTAACTTGCATCTGATTTGTACAAAGGCCTGGAAGGGATACATAAAATAAAAAAAATAGAAGCTCTTCAAAATTCTGAGTTATAACTCGGAATTTTAAAATTACGAGTTATAACTCAGAATTTTGAACTTTTTATTTTTTTTATTTTATGTGTCCCTTCCATGCCTTCGTAGATTTGTTTATCTACCCATACATTTCTTTTTATTCACACAGTAGGAATCGGTCACATTTAGTACCTAGTTTTCAAGGTAGAGGCGACACTAATAATTCAATTTGATATATAGTTTCATGAACATACTGACCAGAGACAAAAGTTCAAAATAACAATTAAAAATTCCTCAATTGGTTTTCAAGTTGAATCATCCATAGCTTTACAAGGTGTTAATAAAGTTCTGGTAATTGGGGTCGCTCATTTTTGTCTGCAAATGGTTTTATGGATTAAATTGTTGGAGGCAAAAAAATGCCATCTAACTATTTTGTGTAAGCCTGAGTACAAGAAGTTTGGTAGCACCTTGTATTTGTAGCTGCATATCTTTGTGAAGAAAAAGAAAATCTATCGAAATCGACATTGTTTTACTTGGAACAAACCTTTAGATATCCCAGTCCTTATAAAAAAAAACTCAAGCAGATCAACTACCTTTCATCTGTTATATTTCATTATCATTCTCTGTTTATTTTCCAAAGAGTCTGGTTGAGTCTTTTTTTCAATTCCTAAACATCCTATTGAGCTTATTTTGAAAATAAATATGGTATTACGTGAATGTGTTGTTTAATTTAGCTTCAGCCCTTCAGACACCAAGTTTGTAACGTGTTCAGATGATGGGACGCTACGTATATGGGATTTCTACAGGTATCAAGAAGAAAGAATACTGAGGGGTAAGTAATCAGAATTATTAAAAAAATAAAAAATCGAAAAACAATTCTGATAAAAACGTTCTAAAACTTGCGATATCTTATATTAGGTCACGGAGCTGATGTCAAATGTGTCCATTGGCACCCCCAAAAAGGCCTTATCATTTCTGGCAGCAAAGATAACCAACAACCGATCAAACTGTGGGATCCTAAAACAGGTCAATCTCTGGCTACTCTGTAAGTGAAACATATATTGTGCTAGGCCCTAATTTAGAAACGCCTACATGTATACCTGCTCGAGACACGCCCTCAATAAACCTTCCCAACATTGTTATCCATGGCAACGCCTACACAGCCACCTGTTGCTCAACATTACTATTTAAGCCACGCCTACATAGTCTACTAGACACGCCTACACTCAGTCTATACCACTGATTAATCAATGAATTCAATTAGTCCATTTCAACTCGTATTTAGATATCGGTGCGATCTAACTCTGAGTCGAAAACAGCTATTTTAGATTCCTGTGAAAACATCATCGATCCATGCAGTGAAGCTTGGTTATGTATCGATTCGATTGATTTCAAGGATAATAATTTCCTTAGTTCAAAGATTTCATTTTGTTCCTCTGTTGAAAATACCAAATATTTGCCCTATTCGTTGGCACTGAATTAAATAAATCATCTATTGCTATTTCAGACACGCCTTCACACGTACACTTACTCATCATTGCTATACATAAAGCTTCTTAGAAACAAAACGTTGTCCGAAGATTTTTTCAATATCATTTTGTAGAGGTAAAAAAGTGTAAATATGAGAGTGGCTTTATTTTTTTCGAAACGTTTCTAATAACTTCTGAAGAAAATGAAAATCAATTCGGCATTTTCGGTTTTTTTCGAATATCTCCGGAAGCAGACATCTCTGGGAATACGCAACATCTATTTAATGATTCCTTGATTGCGCAATTCATTGCCCATTCGACCTATGTAACTACGGTTACTGAGATCCCTCCCATGTAGTTCATCCTTATCTTGGGCACACTGTCTAAGGCCCGCCCACAATTCACCCGCCTACTAACATAATTCGACACGTCTACAATTCTCCCGTTGACACGCCCACTTGAAACACTCCCAAGTACCCTACCTTTGTTGGACACACCCACAAATCGACCGTGATGGATCTTGAATGGAATGATAACGGCCTCGAGGGACCACCTTCTGCAGCTGTTTAACCTCAGCAACCTGAGCCAAAAACTGACCCATAATCTTTCATCTCAAATTTAAAAATCAAGCTGTGATTGTGTTAGTCGAGGATGCTCGAGATATTACTTGTCGTAACTTTGCCTTACCACAAAGTAAAAAGAAATCGTCGATAGCTTAGTCATTTTTTAATCAAGGATAAAAGATTATAGGACAGTTCTTGTTCAGAAACGAATTTCCTATCGATTAGGAATATTGTATACTGGGAGTCCCTTTCAAAGAAATTGTTTTCGACATAACTAGTGCACGCGATGTTAGATTATTGTTTCGTTTTCATCAATCAGCAGTTTGTTCATTCAACCGACTCTTCAATAGTAACCAAGTTAGAAATAGTGCGTACAACCCACCCACTCCTTATATCATTCAAAGACACGCCTACAATCCTCTCCATAGACACGCCTACTTGAAACATATCCAAATAACTTGTTGCATTATCAACGCCACATGTTTCTAGACACGCCCACAACGTTATTCGACGACACGCCTACAATTCTCACCTTAGACACGCCCACTCAAAACAAACCCAAGTAACCTGTTTCTGTACCATTTTTTTGTTCGTTTGTTATCGTAGACACGCCCACAAATCGACCGTGATGGACCTTGAAACTGTTCGACCTCAGCAACCTGAGCCAAAAACTGTCCAATAATCTTACATCTCAAATTTAAAAATCACTAAGCTGTGATTGTGTTATTGGAGGATGCTCGAGATATTACTTGTCGTAACTTTGCCTTACCACAAAGTGAAAAGAAATCGTCGATAGCTTAGTCATTTTTAATTAAGGAGAAAAGTTTATGGAACAGTTCTTGTTCAGAAACGAATTTCCTATCGATTAGGAATATTGTGTACTGGGAGTCCCCGAAGAAATTGTTTTCGACATACTGGTGCACGCGATGTTAGATTATTGTTCCGTTTTCATTAATCAGAAATTTGTTCATTCAACCGACTCTTCAATAGTAACCAAGTTAGAAATAGTGCGTACAACCCACCCACTCCTTATATCATTCGAAGACACGCCTACAATCCTCGCCGTAGACCCGCCCACTTGAAACAAATCCAAATAACTTGTTGCATTATCAACGCCACCTGTTTCTAGACACGCCCACAACGTTATTCGAAGACACGCCTACAATACTAATCTTAGACACGCCCACTCAAAACAAACCCAAGTAACCTGTGTCTGTACCATTTTTTTATCGTTTGTTATCGTAGACACGCCCACAAATCGACCGCGAGGGGCCACCTGCTGAAGCTGTTCGACCTCAGCAACCTGAGTCAGAAACTGACCAATAATCTTACATCTCAAATTTAAAAATCACTAAGCTGTGATTGTGTTAGTCGAGGATGCTCGAGATATTACTTGTCGTAACTTTGCCTTACCACAAAGTGAAAAGAAATCATCGTCGATAGCTTAGTCATTTTTAATTAAGGAGAAAAGTTTATGGAACAGTTCTTGTTCAGAAACGAATTTCCTATCGATTAGGAATATTGTGTACTGGGAGTCCCCGAAGAAATTGTTTTCGACATACTGGTGCACGCGATGTTAGATTATTGTTCCGTTTTCATCAATCAGAAATTTGTTCATTCAACCGACTCTTCAATAGTAACCAAGTTAGAAATAGTGCGACTTGAACTTTGGAAACCCTGAAGACCGCCTACAACCCACCCACTCCTTATATCATTCGAAGACACGCCTACAATCCTCGCCGTAGACCCGCCCACTTGAAACACATCCAAATAACTTGTTGCATTATCAACGCCACCTGTTTCTAGACACGCCCACAACGTTATTCGAAGACACGCCTACAATTCTCACCTTAGACACGCCTACTCATCTGCTGTACCATTTTTTTGTTCGTTTGTTATCGTAGACACGCCCACAAATCGACCGTGATGGACCTGAAATGGAACGAGAACGGGAATTGGCTGATAACGGCCTCTAGGGACCACTTACTGAAGCTCTTCGACCTGAGAAATCTGAGTCAAGAGGTGCAGACCTTCAGGGGGCACAAGAAAGAGGCGTCCAGCGTGGCGTGGCATCCCGTGCACGAGGGGCTCTTCGCCAGCGGGGGCTCAGATGGGGCCATCATGTTCTGGCACGTCGGGTGAGTCTGAGTCTTCGGATGGTTCAAGTGGTCAGCTGGATTGATTTTCCACAATTTTTTCCCTTATATTGTGAATACCTTCAGTTTTTTTTTATATCATAATACATCATATTCTATTCGATTTGAGAGATAATGTCAATTCTCAATTTCAGAGGATTTTGATTTTTCATGCTCTCTTTTTGGATGTTCAACAGATATAATTCAATGTTCGACGTAACAAATAGCCAGGAAAGTAGTTGTTTTCTGTTGAATATTCAGAATGATATTATGTGCATATCTTTATACAGAGTGGGCCTTTGAAAACGAAACAGAGGCTCTGTAGGTCGCCAAAACCGGATTATCAAAAAAAAAACTGAAACAGGTCAACTACATTTTCGAGGGGGACATCTTTCTAAAATATTTTCAGCCCTGCGGCGTTGCCGCTTCTAAAGAAAAGAAGCAACAACTTTGTTATTTCAAATGGAACACCTTGTATTTTATTGCATTTTTAGATTCTCCCCGAAGAGCTGATTTCATCAATGCATCACACTTAGGGTCTAGCTGTAATGGTTTCAGGGATATAAAGTGTTCAAAATCGAGATTTTTCAACTTTAACATTTTTTTGTGTCGAAATTATTCATTATTGATCAAAACTGCTCTCATGTCCCGATCTCAACTTGTAATTTACTATCTACTGACATTTATTTGAAACAAATACAGGGTGGTTCAAGATTCAGAATTCTGATCACCCTGTATCTGTTCCAATTAAATGTCAGTAGATAGTAAATCACAAGTTGAGATAGGGACATGAGAGCCGTTTCGACCAATAATGAATAATAATAATAATAATAATAAACTTTATTCATGAAATAAGAATTGTAAAGAGTAGTTACATATGAGTAGTAGTATAAATAAAGTTGGTAATCAATAAGTGCGATGCACTTGTTTCGATTATAAGTAAGAATATATAGGAACAATGAAATTACAATATGTTCATTATAGTTTCGACACAAAAAAATGTCAAAGTTGAAAAATCTCGATTTTGAACACTTTATATCCCTGAAACCATTACAGCTAGACCAAGTGTGATGCATTGATAAAATCAGCTCTTCGGGGAGAATCTAAAAATGCAATGAAATACAAGGTGTTCCATTTGAAATAACAAAGTTGTTGCTTCTTTTCGTTAGCAGCGGCAACGCCGCAGGGCTGAAAATATTGTAGGACGATGTCCCCCTCGAAAATGTAGTTGACGTGTTTCAGATTCTTTTGATAATCCGGTTTTGGCGACCTACAGAGCCTCTGTTTCGTTTTCAAAGGCCCACTCTGTATGAAGGAGAATGCAAATTCTCTACTTCAGAAGATTTTGTTCTCAAATTCTCATCGTGTGTGTTCAATAGATGTAATTCAATATTCGTCGTGGCATATAGCCAGGAAAGTAGTTGTTTTCTGTTGAATAAACCGAGAAAGAGTTAATATTTTCATCACATGGAGAATGCGAATTCTCAATGTATTTCTTTATATTATACAAGGTGGGCCAAAAGAAGTCATCCGATGTTGTTTGGCTCTCATTTTTTTTTCTAAATGAAAAGCTTCGATTCTGTTGTTTGATTATTTTTATTTCAACCTTTAGAATTTTATTGGTCAAGTCGAGAAGATGATATCGGCCAAATAAGGGCTCGTTTTATGCATTTTTCATCACTTCGGCGAGAACTTCGGCCGACAGATTCTCGCACTCGTGTCGAATTTTGTGCTTGACGGAACTTCAAAAACAAACACCGAATAGGCAGGGTTGGCATGAATTAATTCATATGAATTAAATCAGTGATTTGATTCGTGAATTAATTCCATTGACTTTTTTCGAAAAAGTCATGAATTCATTCAAATTTTTAAAAATGAGACAAATTGCACTATTACCTTTGATTTTAACTAGTTTAAACTGAAAAATTCGATCGATTCGAAGCATGACAGAGATTTTTACTAACAGATATATACAGTATCAAGTATCATCCATAAAGTCCATAACATATGAGAACAGGTTTATTATCACAGCATCGAATTTTTTGCTCTCGGCGATCCATTATGCATATCCGATAACTTGAAAATCGATTTTGACACATGTCACGTGATCACGGGTATGGTGATATATAAAAATAATACTATAAAGCGACGAAAAGTGGGGTTAGATAACAAAATATCCATTAACATTTCTTATTAAGTTGCTATTCCACATTCAGTTTCGAGCAATTTTTGGAGGAGAATAGGAAATACCTATATTTTTTCGAATATTCTTCAATTTTGTTACAATTCTCTTTTTTTTCTGACAGTAGTGATGTTGATGATGTACAAGTTGAATAGAATTCAATTTCATGTTCACATTATGGAGTTTCCAGCCATTATTTGAGAAAACTGAAAATAGCTATTTTTATTTTTTAAAATAACTCCATCTTCCCATCTAACCCCACTTTTTGCCATCGTGATTTTTTTGAATCTACCGTCATACCAGTGATCAAGTGACATGTGTCAAAATCGACTTTTAAGTAGTCAGACATGCATAATAGATCCCCGAGAAAAAATGTTTCGATATTCTACCAATAAACTTTTTCTCCATGTGTTATGGATGATACTGGATCTATATGTATCTATTATTTTGTATTCTATCATCACTTTCAATTTTGTTTTGAAAAAATTACATGATATATTATTATGCTATTCTGCAAGATTTCTGAAGGGAATAAAAACAGAGTTTTTTTGTTTCTTTTTTTTCTATTTCGCTTTGGGTAAATGATTTTTTTTTTCAAATGAATTAATTCAAAGTCTGACTTAATTCAAAAAGTCGGACTTTGATGACTTTTTTATAAAAGTCATGACTTATTCCAACCCTGCAAATAGGTCTGGAACGGCTAAATCGGGAGATCTTGCGGGACAGTGCAAATCGGCAAAACGAGAGATAAGGCGATCCGGGAACGCCGCCTTCAGAATATCGGTTATGGATCGCGCAGTGTTCAATTGCAGCAGAAAAAACTCGGTTAATATGGCCCTATAGCGCGCACCGTCCACTGTTGTCGTTTGACCAGCGGCGTCGTCGAAAAAATGGCCCGATGACTCCTCCAGAGTGGACAGCGCACCATGCAGTCACTTTGAGCGGGTGTGATGGCTCCTTGTGCATCACTCATAGATTTTTGGTGCCCCAGGAGCGATAGTTCTGCTTTTCCACGTCCCCGCTGAGGTGGAAATGAGCCTCGTCGCTCATTATGATTTTGGTCGAAAAATCGTCCACGAGATTGAGGATGGCTTAGCTTGGATTATTCCGCGTTCTTGGGAGTGTATCGCTCCATGGCTTGTTATACGACGCTATACATAGTGGAGTATACTACGGCCTTGCCAAAAATGCTATCTCGAAAACTAAGCGAGATAGAGGTATAGTTACTTTGGAGAAAATGATCCCCATCGAATTTTGAGCAACTTTGGTTTTTGTGTGTGGTCTGTCTGTCTGTACTCTGTGTTAATCAGAAATCGATATATCTCCGGAATCCTTTTACATATCGACTTGAAATTTTGCCATCTTATTGTACTCAAAACAATATTATGTCATTAAAATATGAAGGAAATCGGAAAACTCTAAGGAGGTTTTTCCGGGTTTTTTCGATTTTTCACCGGAAGTTTCTTGTAACCACTCTACAAATCGCAAAAGTGGTCCCATCGATTTCATTTTTTGTGAAAAAAAACTTATCAGGGAGAGACAAAGCCTATTGAAATTGAGCAGGGTCGGAAAATTCCAAGTGGGTTTTTTAAGGAGATTTTCCGAAATACACGATTCGCTTCAAAACGACATATCTCCTGAACCAATAGACCAAATCCAAATTTGAAAAATGCACCGTATGCCTCTTTGATGACGCAACAAATGTTTATATAACCATTTTCTCGTGCATCCATCGGAAAGTGGAAAAACAAATGAAAATCATAACATCAAAATTTGAAATCCTTTCAATTCAATATATATCGAAAACAAATGGAAAAATCGAAATTTATCAAAAGTGCAAAGTTTTCCACTGGAACATTTCCTACAAATTATTATCCATAATTTTTTCTGTAAACCCAATAGTACAGGAAATAAAGTGAAAAATAAGAAAAAAAAAATTTAACGACCCACAGGGTACTATGAAGATATGTTGAAAAACAAAGATTATCGATAGATGAAGCTCATCGACTTCCACTGAACCATGAAAAATTTTTTCATTTTGTTGATTGGAAGATGGAACAAGAGTGTTGAAAATTTTATTCTCAGATGATTCCAAATATCTCGAAAACAACTGAAAATATCTGAAAATGTTATGGAACCAAAATTATTCCTTTTGATAGAATCTACAAAAAATTCGTATAACATTTTTCTCTGAATTCAATAGTTCGGGAGATACGATGAAAAAACTAAAAAATTCGCAAGTTCCTAGATAATCACTTGCTAATAGAAAACGAAACAAAAAACAAAAGAAAGTAAAAAAAGCACACTCGACTGTCTTGATTTTTTTTTTTCATAAACTACGTACCTAGCTCACTCTACTGTCTTTATTTTTGCCAATAAACTAGGTACGGGCTAAGTACGTGGTTTGTACGAAAAATCTCCAGTTCTCTGAACTTTCATAGCGTCGTCTTTGGTGCCCAATGATAGTTTCAATATAAAAATATGCTCATGATATGGTGCCATGGCCTCTACTTCCATCTTACATGAGCAATGATAAAATATCATCTGCTTTTATAGCGTCGTATAAATTATCTGACCTCTATACTATTCTAATACCTAATGAAAACTACGTACCTCACTTGTTCACTTGTATTCTACATCTGTCTAGTTCACGAATGTCAAAACAGATTTGACATTGACCGCCATTTGCAAAAATAAGAGCTACTTCCAATAGGGTGATTTCTTTTGGCCCACCTAGTATATATATATATCCATTTTTTGTGTTCATAAATATATCTGAGAATATTCCTTTTCAATGCATTTTTTGTTGTTTTCAGTGCTGATAAAGAAGTTGGGGCAATCGAGCAGGCACACGACAGCATAGTTTGGACCCTGGCTTGGCATCCCCTTGGACACATACTGTGTTCGGGGTCCAACGATCACACCAGCAAATTTTGGACCAGGAACAGACCAGGAGACCAGATGAGAGACAAGTACAATTTGAACACGTTGCCCGCTGGAATAGCAGGACTGGAGGACTTGGAAATGGGTGGTGAGTGGTTTGAATCAAGAACAATCATGTGCTTAATTTCAACTGAATGGACTAATCTTTTTTTCTTAAATGGAATCATCACTCAAATACCTTTCAATTTAATATTTTTTTAGAATTTTTCGGTCGATTTTAGGTGCGAAAATCATCAATAATGTCACTTGAAGCAGTAAACGTGACAACACGGCGCAGGAATTGTGGGCGTGGTCTTGTCATTCCTCAGCATTCAGCACAATGTTGCCAAGTCTCCAGTATTCACATGATATTTTGTTATTTTTTTTTTATTTAGAAAACAAGGTTATCCAACAGAGGAACTATATAAATAGTCCTTCCAATGACAGGATAACACAGTGATACAAAATTATTGTCTTCACATGGGTTGCACCTACATACTATCATTTAAAAACTAAGTACCTACCTATTCCATAACTTTCATTCAAAAATAACAATCTGAAGAAAAGAACAGTAACGTCGGTATATACAATATCAGCATATATGAAATATACATAGGTATAGTGTTTTGACACACACTAGAAAATTACACTTTCGATATGACTTAAGTATCATAAATGAATGAATACCAGCACTATTTCTATATTTTCATATTCAAGGAATACTATAAAAATTTAACAAGAATTCTCTCAGTTGTTTCTTGAATCTTTTGATATCAAGGTGAAATATATCAATATTAGAGTGGCAAATTGTATTGTACGAGTTCATACATCTTATTAGAGGTGAATTACTATAATAATTAGTTGAGAACGAAGGTGGGTAGAAAGTGAGTCTATTCCTAACCATTCTAGGATTACAATTCAAGCTCAGGAATCCAGTGCATGCTGTTGAATCAATATGATTGTTGAAGATCTTGTAAATGAATAATATGTCAACGAAGTCTCTTCTAATGAAAAGATTCTCTATTCTATAGAAACGCAAGTTGCTCTCATAGCTCATATAGTGACGGAAGCGGAAGAATCTATAGTCCAAATTGTTGACCAATTTTTTTTGAACATGTTCAATTTGATTCACATATTTGTCATACACAGGATTGGAGTATAATAAGACATATTTGGACATGCCGGTTGCTTGAAAAAGTCAAGAATGTACTATAATATCATGGGTTCATCCTATTGTATTTTGTTCAACGCCTCGTAACATCTTTTTGATAATTTGATAATGTACTGATATAATGGGTTTCTCCAATTATATTTTATTCAACGACAGGACTCGGTAACATCTTCTTGATAACTTGATTATGAATGGTGACTTGACAACCTTGCTTCGCGAGTTAGAATGGAAGATTATCTGACCAATAACGAAACAGCATAAAAACTGACGTCATTATTTATTCGACGTATCGCCAAATGGCGGCCATGACGGTATGTTTGAAATGTGCTCTGAAATCCAACAATTTTGAACAACGCATACACTCTTTACATGGAAAAAGCTTGAGAAATGTTGCAAAAATTAATTAAGGTCCCTAACGACCCTGGAGTAATTGAATTCATTATCAGTCCGCTCCCCCATTGTCTCAAAATGTTCCCTTCTGATTTGTGGCTTATGTGGATTTATTGCTTGTTATAAATTTATGTAAATAATAATGATATTAATTCACACTAGACGACATTTGAACCGGTGAATGTGGCAACACGGCGCACGACTTGTGTGCGTGGTCTTGTCAGACCTCAGCATTCAGCACAATGTTGCCAAGTCTCCAACAATTACATGATATTTTGTTATGGAGAATAAGAAATATTTGGACATGCTGGATGCTCGAAAAAGTGAAGAATGAACTATAATATCATTGGTTCCTCCTATTTTGTGTTAGACAATGACAGGACTCAACATATTTTTGATAACTTGATTATAATTGGTGACTTGACAACCTTGCTTCATGAGTAGAAATGGAAGATCATCTGACCAATAACGAAACAGCATAAAAACTGACGTCATTATTTATTCGACGTATCGCCAAATGGCGACCATGACGGTTCGTTCGAAATGAGATCTGAAATTTAACAATTTTTTTCTGTGACGGGAAAAAAGTTTGGCATTTCATCTCTGTTGGCAGGTTATAATACTTTTTTCCCGGATATATATCACATATATATACACTGTTGATGGCTTTTGTTGTGCTATAGTTTCGAAAAATGAGTCAATAATACCGTCTCCGAGAAAGAACTGCAAGTCCTTTTATCTTCCATTCGACTTCGCGGTCACGTATATTACTAATCAACCACTAAATTCGCAATTTTTTCAAATCAAATCACAGAATCAGACTGACAGAAGTGACATCAGATATATGATTACTTGAAAAATGATAAAGATGCCTACAACGCAGGTGTCCCTACTGTTAAAAACTTGAAATTCCACGTCGATAATTTTCAGATTTCAAAATAATGTGATAACTTCTCAATATTGATTCGTCTTTTGTTCTGTCACAGAAAAAAATAGTGTATTCTACACGGGAAAAATATTAGATTTTAGCTCACGGTTTGTTGTCTCCCTCCGCTACGCGTCGGGAGACAACACAACCTGGAGCTAAAATCTACTACTTTTTTCCCTTGTATAATAAATAACTATTGAACAACACAAAGACTCATTATTTACATAAAAATAGCTTGGGAAGCGTTACAAATTGAATGCCAATAATTCATTATCAGTCCACTCGCTCATTAATTCAATTTATGTGGATAATTTAAAATCACCCCGTATAATTCCTTGACAACCTATGATTCCAGAGGAACCGGTTTCGATCATCCCGGGTATGGGACCAGAAGACAAAGTGGAGATAACCTCGATCATCACGGATGAAAATCAAGCGATTCCAGGTTTGGACTTGGACAATGTGGTGAACGAATCTGATAAGCAGAAACCGAAGAAGGTGCCCTTCAGCAAACCCATCCCACGGAATTTCCAGGCCCAGTGGAATGAAACCACTGGTAGGAAATTGATTCTTTCATTCATGAAGACTTTTTCACATTGGAAAAATTGAAGGACGAATTTTGACAAGCAATTTTTTTTTTTTCAGATGATACTGCTGGTTCTCTTAATGAAGTCATTACACAGCTGGTGGAAAATACTCCGGGAGTTGTCCCATTGGGACAAATAGCACCAAACGCGATTATCGTTTATGGAAAATTGATACCAGTAGAACGTAAGTTGGAAAAAAAGATACATTATACACTTAAACTTTAATTCCTTGAGGATGCCAGAATTTTTTTTGTGATTTAATTTTGGAGTTTAAATTTGAGGCATTGCCGTTCTCAATAAAAACCTAATTATTTTGACGAAAGAATCATAATATCCGACCCAGAAAACCCCCAGATACAATTTTTGAATAGAACCGGATCATAATTACAAAACTCGTCCACCAACTTGAATTTCCCAATTTTGACAGAAGAATCATAATCTCCGACCCCAAAAAACCCCAGATATCAATTTTGAATAGAATCGGGTCATAATTCCTATATTTCATGATGCATTAGTGATATTCTTTCATTCTAAAATTTAAAAAAAATTTGTTCTAAAATTTGTTCTATCCGTCATTCGGTTGCCCCCTTACGAGCAACCCTCAAAAGTCTTTGAAAGTCTTGTGCGAGCAAGGAATGACGGGGGCCTTACCTTTTAACGTGTGATCCCAAACACTAAATTCTGAACTAACTGAATTCACTTGAACTGAAATGAATCAGTTGACATACATTGTACATAATGAACGTCATTCTAAAGAACGATTCAGTTCAGTAATAGTAAAATATTTCAGTTAGTTCATATTGAAAGAATAATACTATTGTCACCAGAATTACGAACAGGGTGATTCTTTATATTTTACTGGATAGCTTTTCCTTCCTAGGGGGAGAGAGTCTGACTTTGCTCCCTACAATGAGGCCAGGAAATGTATACTTTGGATAGAAGTAGGCGGAAAAACATGTTTTTCCTTCGGAAATATGGGGAGTACGAAGTTTTTACAAGAGTAAAATGAAGAAAAGATAATTAATCTGTCTTCTCTTAAAAAAAAAATGAGAACCGTATAACCACCCTTGAGAATGTTCCGGAAAAAAAGTCAAGGGGTGAGGGTAGTTTCAATCCTACAATTTCTCTTGGGTTTCTTTCATTACTTGAAGGAGAGTAATCCTCTAAAATGCACTTTTGTCAAATTTCATTGAATTTGTTCCATTCACTTCAGAACAGTGAACAAAAATGTGTTTTTTTATGTAAACTTTGGACTCTTCACACAGACAGGTGAATAAATAAAGGATACCGCACACTTTAATAGGGAAAGTGGCCCCCTGTCGAATTGGCTGAATTTTTGATATGTTATAGTCCAAGTCATTCCAAACAAAAAGGTCAATGGGCAAAACTTTTTCTATAGGCTAATTTTGGCGCTAGAGGCACTTGAAAACTTTCATTTGTTCTTCATTGTTATACAACACGGAACGGTATTTTGGGTAATAATCACTATTCTGCATCATCAAGATCTAAACAGTCATCAATATCAGATACTATCGGAAGTATTTTTCTTCGGTGTTGTTATATTTGGTCAATTATACAGTGTGTTCTAGCTACTTACAACTTCCAAAGTTCAATAATTCGAAAATGGTTACAAATCGTCTTAGGGATCTACAATGAGAAAATGTTTATGAATCCTATCCTACATCGTATTATACATCACATAGTCAAAAAATATAAGGAGTGTTCATTGTAAAAGAAAGCAAAAGTTCTAAAATTCGAAAAATTCCATACCTACCATTGATATATTCTCAGATGGAACACCCTGTGAGTTATTAGATGAATAGTGGTTCAGTCAAGGGTTTTCTATTATATAGGGTCGACGATACCAGGTTGAATGAGTACGTTAAATGTAACATATAATTGAGTTATATCCCATTATTTTCTCCATATTACATTTATACTGAATAAGCGACTAGAGGCTTGGTTGACTTAGGAGGAATTTTTCCGCGATACTCCTCGAACATCAATATACTAATCATATTAATACTCATTCGACAAAAGCCTATCAAAATGATATACCACTTTGTTATATTTTCCATGAGTTCCATCATTAATTTGAACTATTAATAGATATAATATTTGGAACACACTGTATAATTGATCCTTGCAATGAAAAATACTTCCAATAGTATCTCATATTAATGACTGTTTCGATCTTGATTATGCAGAATAGTGATTATTACCCAGAATACCGTTCCGTGTTGTAGAACAATGAAGAACAAATGAAAGTTTTCAAGTGCCTCTAGTGCCAAAACTAGCCTATAGAAAGAGTTGTGCCCATTGAACTTTTTGTTTGGAATGGCCTGGACTATAACATATCAAAAATTCAGCCAATTCAACAGAGGGCCACTTTCCCTATTAAAGTGTGCGGTATCCTTTGGTCCAATAAACTAATTTTGACCTCTATCACATGTCTTAGCTCTGTGTGCCAGGAATAGGTCGCGTGCACGATGACCGACCCTGGATATATTGAAACATAACCTCACTCATCTGTGAAACATTGAAACACAACCTCACTTTTTTTTTAGGTCGCGTGCACTATGACCGACCCTGGAGGTGAAATATTGAAACTAACCTCACTTTTTTTATTTATTTACAGAAGAATCAAAGAATTGAAATAGTTTTTCACAATATTTTAGCATACGAATCGTGTTCTTTGCGCTATTCATTAATTCCAGCATGGCTTCTCATTGTGCTGTTGAACAATGCAGCGAGAGACGAAGGAATATGATTGTTCAGGTAAATAGTAATCTCACGTAGTTTTCATCATGAAATTTTGTCATTTCTTATTAAAATTCCTTCTGCCTCTTCTGCAATAGAAGCTTATACTGCTAAAAGATCGAAAATGTCTACAACACACACGATCATATTTCGTCAGCATGTCAGACCAGTCCTCCCGTTTGATTGCATGAATCCAATCTTCTTGCATTATTTCAGAAATTTCACGAGTATTTCTATTAGTTCCTATTGCAGAAGGAATTCCTATGAGAAATCAGAGAAATAAGACATGAAAACTATATGTGAGTGACTATACTAGGTACTTACTTTCAAATCATAATGTACCAACCGGATTCCTTCGTCTCCCGCTGCATTGTTTGTGCATTGTACAACAGCACAATATGATGGCATGCGCGATTTAATGAATAGCAGAAAAACACGATTCGTATGCCATAATAAAAGTGAAAAACTATTTCAATCACTTGTTAACAAATAAAAAAAGTGAGGTTATGTGTTGGTCATCTGACAGTTCTTGCACGCAACCCATTACATTATAAACCCCAAAATATAACCTTGTTGTGCCGATCACGTTATTTCTGAATTCCAGCCGGATCCGCCCTGGAAAAGGCCATCTCCGAAGGGCCCGAAGCCCTCCAAAAGTACATCGATTCCGGCGAGATCGAAGAGCTGCGCGACGTCATCCCGATGAACGACTCCGAAGACTACCTCAACGACTCGATGGACGACGACGATCCCACCAAAAACGCCGACTCGGACATGCGTCACACCGACCAGGACATGCGCTTCAAGCCCGGCAGGGACAACGACATGCGCAACATGGCCGACGTCCGTAAACAGAGCAACGACGTGGACTTCCGCAACCGCAGAGACAGCGATATGCGCAACACGCCCATGGACCAGGACTTCCGCTTCAATCGCGACGAGGACTTCCGAACCAACTTCGAGGACGACGAGGAGTTCTATGAGGAAGAGCCGCCGTGGCAGCGCAACGGAAATTTCAACAATTTCCGGGGCAGGGGGCGTGGCGGCCTCGACAGAGGGCGTGGCCTCCCCGACAGGGGGCGTGGTATGCACGATAGAGGGCGTGGCATTCCTGACAGGGGGCGTGGTCATCTGCCGGACAGGGGCCGGGGCCACATGCCGGACAGGTAGATATGTAGATTCTAATTGTTTTTGGGTGTATGACAAATTGATATTCATCATACAGGGCGTGGAAAGAATTTCTGAATTGAGACTTTTTCACGAATCTGTGATTAGAGGTCTATAAAAATGACAAGTTTCCATCGTTCAAGTTCGAACCCCTTGATTGGGTATGAAAGTGTTGAAAAGGAATATTCTCAGATTCTAATTGTTTTTTTTTTGTTGTCGGAAAACTTTTCAACATGTTTTTATCCAATTAATCGCTGACAATAGGCTTATTTGTTCGAATTTAGAAAAAGTTTACCGAGGAAAGTTGTTTCTATTCCAATTTTTCACATGTATCTCGAATTCGAACGTCCTATTTTAAAATCTTCTAATAGTAACTTCGACAAAACTGTCTTAAACTTTGGTTAGATACCATAAAGTAGTTTGCTGATATATTTGATAGACGACTTTGGCATCATTTTAGTACTGAACAAATCAATTAAAATAAATTTCGGTCCTTGGCTTCAAACATAACAGAAGAAAATCATTTTTTCGTCGATAATCAGTGTTTGAAAATTAATAGCATGATAAAGCTACTAGAATGATAGTTTTGGCGCTGTTATTTCAATATTTCAGAACATATAGTAAAACGTTAAAATTTGAGACACATATTTAAAATTGTAATAGCAACATATTTTCCTAGGGAACTTTTTTGAAATTCAAACAAATAATCCAATTTTCTGCGATTAATTTGACAAAGTATACCTTCTTACATGTAGCGAAAGTCACGTGACACTGACCGAGTAGTCCATTTTTGATAATTTTTAAAGCAAAACTTGACGGCCAAGTCGAATTTGAATATAAATTACTATCAAAAGTTTTTCTCATGATGCCGACTTCATGAATGACACTATATCCTGCCGGAGTTACCCCAGAGAGGAAAGTATCCTTACAGAATGGCGATCGATAAAGTCCAAGTCGCTTTTATTTTCAAAATATGGCAATTTCTAATTTTCGGGGTGTCGTCATAGTATATTGAAAACACAATGCATGGGCTATGCCAATTTTACACAACTACCCCTCGGCTGGAGCCTCGATATATAATCTTGGTCCCTGGGTAATACTGATATTCTTTACCACCTTGGTATATAAATAACTATTTCGAAACTTCCCCACTGTTGATTACTGAGAACATTATATTCTTCAGGGGGCGCGGCATCCCTCCCAGAGGCAGGCCGTTCAACCACGCCTTCCGAGGTAACCACGCCTTCCAGCCCAACGACGGCAACTGGAACGAGAACGAAGATAACTGGGAGGAGCCCAATGACGACGAGTGGGAGGAGCCGAACGACGACAAGTGGGCGGAGCCGAACGACGACTGGGACGACGACGTCAACTGGAACGACAACGACAATGAGGAGTGGCAGGAAGCGCCCGCGTCCGATTTCCGGGGGCGGGGCATGCGTAGACCCGCCCCCAGAGGCCAGCGGGGCATGCAGAGCGTGTCGCCCAGAGGCAGGGGGCGGGGCGCTGTGCGGAGACCCGCGGGCGGTCCAAGGGGGCGTGGCAACAGAGGGCCTGGCAGGAACAAGGGGGGGAACAGAGGGGGCGGGGCGAATAGGGGAGCGAGAGGGAATCGCGGGAACAGGGGGCAAGGTCCGAGGGGTAAATTTTCCTGAGCGGTGTTTCGGAAGGAGATCGGTTGGATGTTGTACTTTCGATTATTTTTTATATTCAATTTTGTGCAGTGAGGAAGTGGAACTGTGAGTGGTGGAATATTACCGGGAAACAGCGATTTTTCTTTCGCTAGGTACCGAAATGTTTCTCATTTTAGTTGATTATCCATTATGATGAATGATATTTCATTGATTGTGTCTTATTGCAGAAGTTTTTGTTTTTGTAAATAATTAAAGTAGTTGGAAAGGATTGTCTTATTTGATTATTTATTCATTATTGACTACCAATAATATGGAAATCTGAAAAAAATTGGCATGGCAAGAGATGTTGGTGAGGGGAAGGTTTCAAATTCAGGAAAAAATAGCAAAGGAAAAATCCATATATATATATGTCTCTTTGAAAAACGTTGATGGGTACAATTCACAAACTAAAAGTACATCATTCATACATATTGGTTTCAGTAAATATTCCACTTACAAATATATTTATAAATCTTGATAAATAAATTCTGATTCTTATAAAACCGCACTATAAAAACATCAGTAAGCGAGTGGACTAATTTTTTCATTTTTATTTTTAGAGAATCTTTCGGAAGATTTTTAGGTTATAAAATCAAAAATACCATGGTTATGAGTTCTGAAATTAAACAATTTCGAAAAAGGCATCGAGTGTTGCAAAAATTATTTTAGGTTTCTTACGACACAGTGAAGTAATTGAATGCCAATAAATCATAATCAGTCCACTCGCCCATTATCAATATATAAACAAGATCAACTTAATTATCGATATATTACAAACCTTAAACGAAATATATTAGCTTTTCTCTCGCTTTTTGAAACTTCGCTTACTGGCACATCGGTTGATGATATCGGTAACATACACTTTATGATCGAAAATTTTCATTATCGAAGTCTTAGCCTCGAGCATGCCGTCATTGATAATCTTAATCCTCTGGAGATTGCCCTAAAAAATCATTAAATGAAATTGCCATCATACCAATTGCTTATTGTTTCAAATATTTAAAAAAAAAGGATAGAGCACAGACAGAAACACATTCCAAGAAACAACCTGTATGACTCAAAACGTATGCGAGCTTATTTTTTGTAGTGAAATATGTACTTTTGAAAAATGAACGCGATGAAAAAAAGGGGTAACTAAACTAAACAGTACTCACTTTGATGAGATCGTTGATTCTATTCAGCTCCTTGTCAAAATGCTTGCTGCCCATTTCGGATTCTGTACACTTCAGCAAGCCTGTCAATTGGTCATAAACAGTTTGTTCTTGTTCAGCCTGAAATCAAAATCGTTAAGACGTCAAAGTTTTGAACAGTTAGTTAATTCGCATATATTCGCCGAAATCATTAATAAAAATCATCAATTTCCATATGATTCTATGAAAAGACTAACATACTCTTAGATTTAGATCCATTAATAATTTGCAACTTGATATTCAAATCGAATCTTTTAAGCCAATAGCACATACAAACATACAATTTGGCGCAGTCGGTAGGACTCACCAGATCTTCTAATATACGACAGATTTTAAGATCTAGTAATATTCATCAACTTTTCCCAGCAAAAAGCTCGATGAGATGTGATTACCTTCAATATGGAAGAAAGAAATTTTACAAGAACCAAAGAAGGTAATATAAATTGATATCTTCTCACTGAATTTCAGTGTGGAAATAGTGTTTGAAGAATCAGAAGATAAGGAAATTGATGGATATCTCTACTTTACTGTAGTATAATAGTAATGATGATAATCCCTATCAACAATTGATTGTTGTTTTCAGATTAGCGAATAGCACAAATGGGAAAACATAAGTTGGAAAGACTCACTAGATCTTCCAAAGATCGTGGGTATATAACTATCCTAAAGCAGATCGAATCTAGCAAATAGCACCAACGGAAAAACATTAGAATTGGCGCAGTCGGTAGGACTCGACAGAACATCCAAGTCCGTGTGAGAAAAGAACAAGATGATTGTAACACTAAAAGGGTGAAATATGATATTTTCGCAAAAAATTTTGATGAATTTAAATTGTCCACACACAATTTCATGCAGAAACTTCTGCATCCTGTCATACCTAGTCAACATGAATTACATTTTTCGGATTTAGCGAATTGCACGATACTGCACAAACGAGAAAGGTGGAAAAAAAGTTGGCGCAGTCGGTAGGACTTACCAAATCCTCCATCTGCGTTGACAGATGGTGCACCTTCCACCCGTTCACTTTCTCCTGCACCCTGCACTGATTTGCCAGGTCCATGATCGAGGGTCGGCGCTCCTCTTTCGGCTTCAAAAAAAAAAAAAATCAAAATCAGTAAAATCATGTAAGCAATCAAGACCAATCAAGACCGTTTTACTCTATATGCCATTAGATGTGTTTTATTTGTTCCATTCTGGTAACGGTGGTGGGACCAGAATGGCGTTCACAAATAAAACGAGAAACTTCATGACCTGGCATGAGAGAATTGACATATTATAGATGATAGAGGTTTAATTTATATATTGGGGCTCCGAATTATTTCAATATCATAATAATGAAAAAAATGAATCAATGCATATTTGGAGCAGTGATTGTGGTTCTTGGAGAAGGTTCTCTGAGATCGAAATGATCAGAATTAATTCATTACGTTCCAAAAAACATAAAATGTCATCTAGGAACACCTCTCTTACTAGTTACAAGTCATTATAGTTTTACAAATTACATAATATCGGACATAATAATTATATTATTGATTCAAACCTGTATCAATTTAGTGAATATACCCTAGTTTGTCCAATAGTAATATACGGGTAACCTTTTTTAACTGAACTATAGATGATTCATTTCATGATGATTAATTTTATCTGAGAATGAAGATATGAAACCTGTCTTACTTGAAAGAATCATAAACTTGTGAATCTCACGATAAAAATGTCTTCTGTTTCAAAGAAGTTCCGTTTTTCTTCTATCTAATTTCATTTTTTGACAAATGTCAAAAGTCATTCCACGTTATTCCTTGTAGTGAGACGGAATGAAAAGTAGTAACCGGAATCGGTAAGGTTGCAAATAAAACGACATATTGAAGCGGATAAATAAAACGCAACTAGTATTTCATTCCGGTTGATGACTAAAATCAGTAAATAAACTGGGCGTCAATTGAAACGTTAATAGTGAAATTTGGCATCAAGTTTGACTTGTCGTAATTTCTAAAATATTGAACGAATTTTGAATTGCCGCCCAGATTCTGAATGCCTTTTTCATCGTCTTTCGAATCGTTCCTTACAGTTTCTTCTAAATTGATCAGGACCCGTGATACAGGGTGAAACAAAGTTTCGTGCATTTTGAATAAAATTTCTCCGCCCCCCATTTTGTCGGAAGACCACGATGCTCATATTTTTTTCAGGCATTTCATAAATAGCAACCATACCTCGGGACGTTTTCGAGTTTTTGCCAAAAACTACTGTGGTTTTCAGAAAAAATGTTTTTTTATATTTTTTTCAAATGGACTAATTTTACAGGAGTTCCATAAATGGATGCTTTTATGCATTTCAGGCAAGCGTTGGAGCAGATATGTATACCAGGTTACTCAAAACCTACTAATACTTCGCAGTCTATGATGAACGTTTTCTACCTTAGTGAGCAGTAAATCAACACATCTCATCGACAAAAACAAACAACGATACCTTGTTTCTATAACAACGTATTGTTGAAACAATGTAGGTATGCATAGAGATTATATCAATTGCCAATTTTCATGAAAACGTCACTGTACTTCGGGTCCTAAAAAATTTAAAGATGCCTCGTTCAAATCGGGTCGAAATGGAAAATATCATTAGGTAAGATCACTATAGTGATATAAACTATAATTCAGTACAGATAATTATTATTTCCGAGATTATTTCAGGTTACGACGATTAGGATATACCCAAACCATAGCCCAAACTCATTTGAATACCATTTTCTATAATTCAGTCATGACAATAAATAGACTGATTCATCGTTTTGAGGATACAGGTAATCAGTCCATAAGAAAAATAAAAAAAAAAAATTTTTTTCGGAAACCACAGTAGTTTTTGGCAAAAACTCGAAAATGTCCCGAGGTATGGTTGCTATTTATGAAATGCCTGAATAAAATATGAGCATCGTGGTCTTCCGACAAAATGGGGGGGCGGAGAAATTTTTTTCAAAATGCACGAAACTTTGTTTCACCCTGTATCATGGGTCCTGATCAATTTTGAAGAAGCAGTAAGGAATGGTTCGAAAGACGATGAAAAAGGCATTCAGAATCTGGGCAGTAATTCAAAATTCGTTCAATATTTTAGAAATTACGACAAGTCAAACTTGATGCCAAATTTCACTATTAACGTTTCAATTGACGCCCAGTTTATAACTATTTTTACCTTCACGTCCGAGTGCCGCAAATAGTGGTTGTGCGTCGCCTTCCAGTGTTGCCGATACCCGTTGAGCAAGCTGGCCGACACGGGTTTCCGAACCGTCGTCACCGCACTACCGGAAGCCTCGGGCGCCCCGTCTTTCGGCTCGTCCGATTGGTTGTCGGCGTCGGAGTCGTCGTCCTTGTCTTTGTCCTTGTCCTTTTTGGAGGCCGACGGGTTGTCGCTGATGAACTGCATTTCTTCGTCGAGTTCGTCCATGTCGTTGCCGGTGCTGAAAGCGAAATTAATTCGACGGTTATTATTTTCATCTACTCACTCGTTACCACCGATAAAACAAGGCCAGCAGACTCTGACGTAAACAGCTCGTGACGTCGCATACTCAGGCCATCTTCCAAGGCATTCGCGTCGATCGATCGTCAGTTTGTTTTTGTTTAAGAACGGTGGCGTAGGTAAATCGCGTGTGTGCTCAAATTCTCTTGTTGTTTATTCATCAAAATAATTGGCGGAGAAATTACTGTTTTGTGAAATATTTCGTGTTGTGATAGGCGAAATAACAATGCCTTACAAGTGTTGTGTTCCCTTTTGTCGGGGGAATTATGTGGGTGGTCCAAAAGTTCATGCTTTTAGTTTCCCGTTGGACAAGGAACTATCGAAAAAGTGGGTACATGCAATTCACCGCAAGGATTTGACGACTCCATCTAAGTACAGTAAAGTATGTGAATTACATTTTACTGAAGATGATATTATTACTTCATCTACTGCAACCGATTCAAAAACTGGCAAAACTGTAACAATAGATTTGAAAATTCCTAGGCTCAAACGAGATGTTATTCCCACTCAATTTCCCAACTGTCCATCTTATTCATCGAAAGATGTAAAATTACGCACAAGTCGTGATGAAAAACTTGAGATACTAGAGACTAAAAATTTGGCACCATCACTTACCAAAAGTAAAACTGAATTCGAAAATTACCAAAAATCATTTTGCTACACAGAATTTCAAGAATTTCTAGTTGTATTAGAGTCTTTTCAGTTGCCCGAAAAGTGGTTCAAAATTATCGATTTGCAAAAAGTCACATTATTCAAATTGTCTTATTCTCCAGGGCCCGTAATTACATATTCGGTTGTGATCGATTTTGTTTTGAATGTGGAATCATTTTTGTATGATCTAGCGATACAAACATCTCTAAAAGCCAATCTGAAAACACCTTTTATCTCTAATAATATCAATCAAATCAAGGAATTACTAATTGAAATAGATAAAAACGAGATACATAATTCGGGAAAATGTCTTGATAATCAGAAAAAGAGGGTTTTGAAACATATTTCGAATGCATTGGACTCTTTGGTTTCTGACTCAATACATTCTCAAATTTCTTTCTGAAAACGGTCAGTTGCCTCGTGGCAATGAATGCAGAATTCATTCCAATGATCAAATTGCAACTATTATATTAACATGTACTACAAACACTCTACTTAAAAATTACTGTTTCAAGTCTAACGACCAATTGGGTAAAAAACACTCACTGGCTAATTTTTTAGGTAATAGGAATTCTCCAAGATAAATATAGGTAATTAGGTATAACAAACGGCATGTCTATCAAACTAAAATACATTTTCCCTAATTTTCTTTCGATCAATCTCATGATAAGTTTATGTTCTGCGGGCCCTGTATAAGTAGGTGTGAAGTTTACCTCTAATGAGATTGAATCACTACAATTTTTGCCAATATATTTAATTCGAATGGGTTGCTGTAGGTGGGTATTTGTGTTTTATTCTGGTTTTTGCTTTGAAACTTCGTTTTTCCATAATAAAATCGAATGGGATGCGAAGAAGGGCTCAGTTGACGGCTGGCATCCTCTTTCAACCGGAAGCCCTTCAAAAAAAAAGCAAAATCGGCTCAATAATGATCTAAAACTAAAATCGAAATACGCGGTCGCCTTATAGCGCTATAAGCGCTTGTCGTTTCGAGCCGCTGGTTAGGCCTGACTAAGTGACGTCACCCACGGAGCATGCAGGCGTTGTTTTATCGGTGGTAACGACTCACTGCATAGAAAGTTGTCAATTTACTCCCAAGGGAGGAAAAAAATATTACCTTCCGTGGGAGGTAAAATAAATCAGAGTACGGACACTATGACAAGCACTGACAATCAGACATAACCACAAATAAATTGATGGAAAAAGCGGGAACTGACAGTACACGGACGTACATGACATAAATTTCAAAGGTTTGACAAATTGAGAGAATTAGGAGTTTATGCAGTTTCCAACTGTGAGAACACGGGAAATCAATTCACTCTATTCGAATTTCCATCGGATAACGTAATTCTACAAAAATGGAAACAGAATATGATGCGGCCGGCATGGAATGTTGGTTCAGGCCACAAACTTTGCGATAGGATCGTATTGAGAGGAAGAGCCGAACCCACAATTAATAAACTAAGCGAGTATCGAAAAGAACCTTATTCCAATTTAGACTCTGGTCATTGCTTCTGAGATCATGGTCGATAATCTGATGATGAAATAGCAGAAACTTCCTGAATTGACTGACTCAAACTGATTTCACATCCCTGTTCAACCAAGAATTCTTTAGATCTTCGTATACGAACTCTTATAATAATTTTGTGAAAACATATAGTCACTTTGTGGAACTCTGATGCACCAGATATTGATGTATCTATATCAAAGAGTTGAATATATTGTTCGTGTATCACAGTCATCACACATCAAATTACATATACTTACAGCTGTTGTTTTCTTGGTTTTTTCCTAGGGCTCATTTCGAGAGGGGGTTTAGATTCTTCTTCCTCTTTGACGCTAGATAGACCTGGATTGCTATCTTCGTTCAATTCTACGGGACCTGGACTCGAAGTCGCAGAAATTGTGGTACTTCCTCCTAAAAATTGAAGAAGACATAATAAAACTTGCTCTGATCCACATTTCATAGTGAAATATTATCTTTGTGGTTAAGGGTGTTCGTTTTTTCTGTTTTTTTTTTCAAAATTCAGTAATTAAACTGAATAAGTGATTTTTCAACAAAAAAAAATCACAAAATTTCAAATGAATCTTTTAAATAAACTAAGGAGAAAAAATATTGTGAGAATATGAGAATGAAGTATTATTTTTGCAGCTTTTTTATCGAGTTTGGCATATCTTCTCGGGCTTTAATGTTAGGAGTATTTAAAAAAATATCTCCTAACATTATAGCCCGAGAAGATATGCTAAACTCGATCAAAAAAGCTGCAAAAATAATACTTCAATCTCAAATTCTCACTTTAACTGTTTGATAAATGTTTTGGGATACTGTTTGAATAAACAAATTCAATAAAATATCTGCATTACCTAAAAATACATTGTAACCAACGTAGGAGATCCATAACTTACAGTCACAACTCCACCACATAAAAATTTTTAATAATGACATCATGGACATAAGTAAGGACATGTTTCAAAGGATTAATCTTACATCATCAGCAAATGTGTCAAAAAGAAAATCTGTAAGATTGTTTCTTCAATTCAATGTTCGTCGTGGCATATAGCCAGGAAAGTAGTTGTTTTCTATTGAATTACCTGAAAAAGAGTAAATATTCTCATCACATAGAGAATGCGAATTCTCAATGTATTGCTTTATATAAATATATATCCTTTTTTGTATGTTCATAATTCATCTGAGAATATTCCTTTTCAACACTTTCTTCTTACAGTTTTTTTTTGACACATTTGCTGATGATCATCAGTGGAAGTTGATACAATTGATGAAAAAAATGTGATGAACTGAATTGAAGTAAAAATGAAATTTTGATGCAGTGAATATGAAGTTTTATTCTTGAAATGTGTCGAAGAATCGGCCCCTTGAATATCAGCATATCATTAAAGAACACCCTGTAGAACTATCATCAATTTACGTTGAAACCCCAGATATAGCGAGAAATAAACCCATCCTCACCCGAACTGTGCCCGTTACCCCTGGAATCCGGCCGACTGGGCGGCGAAGGGGGCGTGGTCAGCTGCCCCGCCCCCATCGCTAGATGCTGTCCCGCCCCTCCCGTCGGCAAACCCACTAGCACGGGCGTCAGATTCTTGGCGGCCTTGAGCGGCGACCCCTCGTGGTCGCGCTTGCGCAGGATGCTCGGCCGCGGCGACGACGACACCTTCGGGGCGTGGTCGACGACGGGGGCGTGGTCGAGAGACGGGAACTGCTGCGAGTGGGCGGAGCTTGGCGCCTGCGTCAGGGCAGCCACGCGGGGCTGTTCCGCCGCCATGACGGGGTTGAAACGCATCTGTTGGTTGGCGAGGATGCCTGGAAAATAATAATAATTGATCAATTGAGTTTCTTTATTAACCTAGGGTCCCTTGATGGAAATTGACGTTAAAGTCATCCCAGGGATGACAGTAGACAAAACTAAAGTCTCTAGATCATTAAACAAGAATGCAGCTATGATCTGTCCCTACCCTGTTAAGATGCTTTAACGTCAATTTCCATCAAGGGACCCTACATTACCCTATGAGGGTAGATCATTATACAGGGTGACTTACCGTGCACCTGGGCGTTCACGTTGGTTTTACTGAGCGCCTGCGCGGAAGCCTGTTGTTGCGGTGACGGACCAAAAGTCTGCCCTTGCGAGAACGGCCTACCCTGCTGTTGCGAGGGTGTTTCGTAGAAATAGGCTCCGCTGGGAGTGGGGTGCAGGGAGTAGGGACTGGGGCCTGTGAAACAAGTATTTCGGTGATTGGATACTCGACTTCGAATACTCCGAGTCCAATGAAACTACAGTATCAGTTTTTTTTAAAGTGTCTCACACATCTGAAAAACTCCAGAGACACTACTTTTGACATGTTGAAAACGAATCAGGAGTCAGATTTGGCCAAAGACTTCTAGTTCACGTCGAAAAATATTATTTCTCCCCGAGCGTCCTACACATCTGAAAAACTCCAAACACACTAATTTTGATATGTTTTAAACGAATCAGGAATCAGATTTGGTCCAAACCTATCCGTTGAAATTGTCAAATATAGCAATTCATGATGATATGACGTGAACTAACCTTCACGTCGAAAAATATTATTTCTCCCCGAGCGTCCAACATATTTGAAAAACTCCAAAGACACTAATTTTGACATGTTGAAAACGAATCAGGATTCAGATTTGGTCCAAGACTTTTCGTTAAAATTTTCAAAAATAGCAATTCATGATAATATTGGTTAGTTCAGGTCGAAAAATATTTTTTCTCCCCGATCGTCCTACACATCTGAAAAACTCCAAAGACACTAATTTTGACATGTTAAAAACGAATCAGGAATCAGATTTGGTCCAAGACTTTTCGTTAAAATTGTCAAAATCAGCAGTTCATGATAATATAGGTTAGTTCAGGTCGAAAAATATTTTTTCTCCCCGAGAGACCTACACATCTGAAAAACTCCGAAAACACTAATTTTGACATGTTAAAAACGAATAAGGAATCAGATTTGGTCTGAGACTTTTCGTTAAAATTTTCAAAATCAGCAATTCATGATAATATAGGTTAGTTCAGGTCGAAAAATATTTTTTCTCCTCGAGCGTCCTACACATCTGAAAAACTTCAAAGGAACTAATTTTGACATGTTAAAAACGAATCAGGAAACGGCTTTGGTCCAAGACTTTTCGTTAAAATTTTCAAAATCAGCAATTCATGAAAATATAGGTTAGTTCAGGTCGAAAAATATTTTTTCTCCCCGAGCGTCCTACACAACTGAAAAACTCCAAAGACACTAATTTTGACATGTTAAAAACGAATCAGGAATCAGATTTGGTCCAAGACTTTTCGTTAAAAATGTCAAAATCAGCAATTCATGATAATATAGGTTAGTTCAGGTCGAAAAATATTTTTTCTCCCCGAGCGTCCTACACATCTGAAAAACTTCAAAGACACTAATTTTGACATGGTAAAAACAAATCAGGAATCAGATTTGGTCCAAGACTTTTCGTTAAAATTGTCAAAATCAGCAGTTCATGATAATATAGGTTAGTTCAGGTCGAAAAATATTCTTTTCCCCGAGCGTCCTACACATCTGAAAAACTCCAAAGACACTAATTCTGACATGTATAAAACGAATCAGGAGTCAGGTTTGGTCCAAGACTTTTCGTTAAAATTTTCAAAATCAGCAATTCATGATAATATAGGTTAGTTCAGGTCGAAAAATATTTTTTTTCCCCGAGCGTCCTACACATCTGAAAAACTCCAAAGACACTAATTTTGACATGTTAAAAACGAATCAGGAATCAGATTTGGTCCAAGACTTTTCGTTAAAATTTTCAAAATCAGCAATTCATGATAATATAGGTTAGTTCAGGTCGAAAAATATTTTTTTCCCCGAGCGTCCTACACATCTGAAAAACTCCAAAGACACTAATTTTGACATGTTAAAAACGAATCAGGAATCGGATTTGGTACAAGACTTTTTGTTAAAATTTTCAAAATTAGCAATTCATGATAATATAGGTTAGTTTATGTCGAAAAATATTTCTCCCCGAGCGTCCTACACATCTGAAAAACTCCAAAGACACTAATTCTGGCATGTATAAAACGAATCAGGAGTCAGATTTGGCCCAAGACTTTTCGTTAAAATTTTCAAAATCAGCAATTCATGAAAATATAGGTTAGTTCAGGTCGAAAAATATTTTTTCTCCCCAAGCGTCCTACACATCTGGAAAACTCCGAAAACACTCATTTTGACATGTTAAAACGAATCAGGAATCAGATTTGGTCCAAGACTTTTCGTTAAAAATGTCAAAATCAGCAATTCATGATAATATAGGTTAGTTCAGGTCGAAAAATAGTTTTTCTACCCGAGCTTCCTACCCACCTGAAAAACTCCAAAGACACTAATTTTGACATGTTAAAAACGAATCAGGAATCAGATTTGGTCCAAGACTTTTCGTTAAAAATGTCAAAATCAGCGATTCATGATAATATAGGTTAGTTCAGGTCGAAAAATATTTTTTCTCCCCGAGCGTCCTACACATCTGAAAAACTCCAAAGACACTAATTTTGACATGTTAAAAACGAATCAGGAATCGGATTTGGTCCAAGACTTTTCGTTAAAATTTTCAAAATCAGCAATTCATGATAATATAGGTTAGTTCAGGTCGAAAAATATTTTTTCTCCCCGAGCGTCCTACACATCTGAAAAACTCCAAAGACACTAATTTTGACATGTTAAAAACGAATCAGGAATCGGATTTGGTCCAAGACTTTTCGTTAAAATTTTCAAAATCAGCAATTCATGATAATATAGGTTAATTCAGGTCGAAAAATATTTTTTCTCCCCGAGCGTCCTACACATCTGAAAAACTCCAAAGACACTAATTTTGACATGTTAAAAACGAATCAGGAATCAGATTTGGTCCAAGAATTTTCGTTGAAATTTTCAAAATCAGCAATTCTTGATAATATAGGTTAGTTCAGGTCGAAAAATATTTTTTCTCCCCGAGCGTCCTACACATCTGAAAAACTCCAAAGACACTAATTTTGACATGTTAAAAACGAATCAGGAATCAGATTTGGTCCAAGAATTTTCGTTGAAATTTTCGAAATCAGCAATTCTTGATAATATAGGTTAATTCAGGTCGAAATATATTTTTTCTCCCCTAGCGTCCTACACATCTGAAAAACTCCAAAGACAATAATTTTGACATGTTAAAAACGAATCAGGAATCGGATTTGGTCCAAGACTTTTCGTTAAAATTTTCAAAATTAGCAATTCATGATAATATAGGTTAGTTCAGGTCGAAAAATATTTTTTCTCCCCGAGCGTCCTACACATCTGAAAAACTCCAGAGACACTAATTTTGACATGTTAAAAACGAATAAGGAATCAGATTCGGTCAAAGACTTTTCGTTGAAATTCAAAAAATTAGCAGTTCATGATGATATAGGTTAGTTCAGGTCGAAAATTATTTTTTCTCCCGGAGCGTCCTACACATCTGAAAAACTCCAAAGACACTAATTTTGACATGTTGAAAACGAATCAGGAATCAGATTTGGTTCAAACCTTTTCGTTGAAATTTTCAAAATCAGCAATTTATGATAATATAGGTTAGTTCACGTCGAAAAATATTTTTTCTCTCGGAGCGTCCTACACATCTGAAAAACTCCAAAGACACTAATTTTGACATGTTAAAAACGAATCAGGAGTCAGATTTGGTCCTAGACTTCTCGTTAAAATTTTCAAAATCACCAATTCATGATAATATAGGTTAGTTCAGGTCGAAAAATATTTTTTCTCCCCGGGCGTCCTACACATCTGAAAAACTCCAAAGACACTAATTTTGACATGTTAAAAACGAATCAGGAATGAGAGTTGGTCCTAGACTCCTCGTTAAAATTTTCACAAATAGCAATTCATGGTAATATAGGTTAGTTCACGTTGAAAAATATTGTTTCTCCCGGAGCGTCCTACACATCTGAAAAACTCCAAAGACACTAATTTTGACATGTTGAAAACGAATCAGGAATCAGATTTGGTTCAAACCTTTTCGTTGAAATTTTCAAAATCAGCAATTTATGATAATATAGGTTTTAGTTCACGTCGAAAAATATTTTTTCTCTCGGAGCGTCCTACCATAGATTAACGACTCCCCTAGATATACACCGTGAATGGGGATTTGGTCAACACTGAAATTAGTGAAACAGAACATACACAGATGTCTCTAGTATCCTTGGTGCGAATAATTCATCCGAGGTCCAGACAGTCTGTGGTCTATTTATAATAGCGCCGTGCACCCTCGAAACCGGCTATACGTGACAGCGTTGCCAGAATGTGGCATACACTCTTATTACCATTCTTGGATAAAAAATCAGATCAGAATAAAAATAATTATTCTGCATCTTCTCTATAAAAATGAATGTTTGTCTGTCTGTCTGTATGTCCTCGATACAATCGTAAACTGCTCGACTGATTTGGATAATTTTTTTTTGTTTATTCCGTTATAGTTCAGGGATGGTATAGGTAGAAAAAAAATTGAAAAAATCAAATATGGCAAAAATTTAAAAAATCAAATATATGGCAGACGAGTTTTGTAATTATGGACCGATTTTATTCAAAATTGGTAGCTGGGGGTTTTCGGGGTCGGAGATTATGATTCTTTCGTCAAAATTAGGAAAGTCAAAATGGCGGATTCAATATGGCGGACGAGTTTTTTGTGATTATTGACCGATTCTATTGAAAATTGGTATCTGGGGGTTTTTGGGGTCGGAGATTATGATTCCGTCGTTAAAATTAGGAAATTCAAAATGGCGGATCCCTTATGGCAGACGAGTTTTTTAATTATGAGTAGATTCAATTGAAAATTGGTATCTGGAGGTTTTCAGGGTCGGAGATTATGATTCTTTCGTCAAAATTAGGAAATTCAAGATGACGAATCCAATATGGCGGACGAGTTTTGTAAGTATGGACCGATTCTATTCAAAATTGGTATCTGAGGGTTTTTGGGGTCGGAGATAATGATTTCGTCGTCAAAATAAGAAAATTCAAAATGGCGCATCCAATATGGCGGACGGGTTTTGTGATTATGTTGTCATGTTTGTCTATATGTCCGTTATATAATCGTTAACGGCACGACCGATTTCGATGATTTGATGACTCAAAATTAATTGAATATTTGTGTAATGTCTTTCCTTTAAATTTATTTTAGTTGATGGCGAACCAACGCGCGCAGGGTACAGCTA